GCCTGAATAGTAAAACAGGGAAACATCAAACTCAAAGTAGTAAAGTAGCAGCATCGTAATATCGTGGCAGAACAAACACAGGTCAGTTTTCGAGATGCAAACTGTCGGGGGTCGAGGAAATCCATTGATTAACGCTGGATATTCTAGGATTCCTTCGGATTCCCGTGCTGGCGGCTGAGCTTTCTCACCCAGGAGTGTCCTGCTGAAGTGGAGGCGGGTCAGCTGGACTGGTTGCCGGCGAGTTTGAACCACAAGGAGAGCACTGAAACTTCACCGCCGTCTTGAATGTCCAAAAGCCGTTTCGAGAAATCGCCTCGTGGAAGGTATCTGGGCCTGTCATTCCGGAAAAAAATCGGCGAAGATTTCCGGCCAGAGCGAAAAAGCCGGTGTTTTGGGCTTGTTTCGGAAATGGCGAGAAGGCGGTTTTGCAGAAACCGACTCGTGTCAGATATCCGGGCTCGTGATGTCGAGTCCAAATTGGAGCGTTGGAGCGCGCGTTGCGTTACAGAATTCTGTCGTCCGTCGGGGCGGATATCTGATGGCCGACAGGGCATTTTCGTTTTCGCGTGCTTCGCGGATGAGGCAAAACGCCTGCATTTTGGCTTGCCGAGCTTCGGAGAAAAACCGAAAATAATGAAAAATGATCGTTTTTAGGGGGGGGGGGGGGGGGGGGGCGGCCCCATAATTCGACCTGGTGCAGAATATCTGCCCTTGTCACTGGTTTTCCGTGTTTTTGGGTTTGAATTTCTAAGGAAAAACACCTGCAATTCGCTTGGTCGACAAACCTGTGAAAACGGGATTTATTGAATTTGAAATTGCAGCGGTTGACCGTAAGTGGCCGTGTCGGGGGCCGCCTGCCGGCATGCTCAGTTGAAAGTTTGGTTTAAGGAAATGGCCAGGTGATCTATGGTCATCTTCACCTGCTTGCAGTGGCGGCTCGTATGGGCGACCGTCATTGCTTAATCCCAGAGACAGGCCGACTGCCTGACGCATTAATCGCGTCCGTGCTCAGCGGGAGTGGGCGTCTTCCTTAGCCCGTCAATCCGAACGCTTCGTGCTACTAGGAGGGCATCGACTTAGCTCAGAGCCAAGCTGAGAGCAGCCTGACTTCAGTCCAAAACCGAAGGCTTCTTTTGGAACCCAGCCTCGTTTTCAGAGCTCAAATTGGATTCACATTTCAGGCCGTCGACTAAGTCGTAGATGAGACTCGCCTTCAGGCCCCTAGTAAACGCGACTGCGTGGCAGCTCTCCACTCATCAGGCCGCGCTCTGCGCGACGCGGCAGTTTTTTCAGCGCGCGCTGCGTTACTGACGTGGCAATCGCTTCAATTTCTTAAGTGTGTCGCTGCGTTACTGATGTGGCAATCACTTCACTCTGTCGCTGACGCCGTGCCAGTGCCATATATGAGGGTAGCCGGGTTCTCTTTTCTGCAGATCCTCGAGTCGACATCGAATTCAGGTTTCCTTTTGGTCCCCTGGTTTTCTTCGCCCCACCGCGCCCAAACCTAAATGCTGCAGCGTAGCGTGTCTCTGCATCACACGACATGAGGTTGCATGTTTGCGTTGCATGTGCAAGAGAGTGTCATCGGAAGCTGTTGTTGACGCTCGAAGGCATTGTCGGTTCAGCGCTAGTTCCTGCGTCTCGTTTTCGGCCATGGCCAGCGTCTACCAGGCAAGTCGACAGTAGTGACGATGAGCTCATGCTAGGTCTGTCCCCGGCCAGGTCATCTGCGCCGCCTCCACACGTAGGATCCTCCAATTATGGGGACGGGTGCCGCCTAACTTCTGCTGGCCTGTCCTTGCTCTATGAGGAGCTAGCTCCGTACTTGCAGGACAGCCTCGCTTGTGTTTGTTGTAGTTGAGCTCGCGAACGTTGTTGCCGACAGGACGCAGCTGTCATCACCAGCGACTCGTGCTTGTGCTACGCGGAGCATGGCTGGGAGGACTTCTGCGTGCGAATGTGTCAATATCAGGATCCTCGTAGACTCTGCCATGTTAGGACAGAAAGGGGGAGATCGCAAAGTCGATGTTGGCCCCGGCGCAGGTGGCGCCCTTCTGAGGCAAAGGCCTAGCCGGCATTGCCGAGGGCCTAAAGCAGGAGAAACTCCAAAGCATCCCGGGCGCTCCATGCTTTTCGTAGTCGGTGCAGGCCGGAAGAAATTGTGCTGCTTTGTTTGCTAGTGGCAGTGCTTCGTCCCTGATGTTGGCAGGCAATGACCTGTACAGCTACAAGTGGCAACGGTGGTGGCAGGTCCGGGGTGCCATCATCGACCTTCAGAAGGCGCCGGTAGACGGTGTGCTTGACTTCGTTTTTGTTGATGCAGCCCGTGCAGATCGCCGTCCAGAAGGCGTTTTCTTGTTCTCCTCTGTAGGCTCTAATCGAAATGGGTTCTGTTGCAGGCGGCCGAGCGGGAGTCTCGATGGCTGCGTGAGAGAGCATAATTTGCTCGAGAGCGGATATAAGCTTGGCGGCGCGCCAAAATCGTCCCGTGCGATGCTGGGTCGAAGGCACACGTGCACGAGCCTTTCGCATGTTTGGTCGTTTGTGCTGAACGCGTATCTGGTCGAGTAAGGATCGCTTGAAGTTTGCTTGAAACATCCAGCATGGATCGCCGCAGCGGTTTCCAAAGGCCTGGTCTCGCGTGGTCATCTGGAAACGCAGTCGCGGGGCCTTGTTTCGGAGACGACGCCCTGTGGTCAGCGCCATGCGGTGTTGGTCCAGAGAACGGCCTGCGCTCTTCCTCCCGCCGGCTCTGTCCGCGCGAGTTGGGAAATCAAGGATTGGCGGGCTTTTCAATGTTGCACGCTTTCAACATTTGTTGTCGCTGCGGCCTTCAAATTTGTGTCGCTGTGTGCCTTCAATTTTCTGTCGCCATGCACTTTAAATTTCGCGTCGCAGAAAAGTTGAAGGTACACATTTCAAGACCGCACATTTGAAGGCGTATGAGAACACAAACTTTGAAGGCGCGCAGCGACAGACACTTGACGTCAACAGTTTTTGTTCAGACACTTTTCTGAGGAAGTTTCAACTGAACTCTGCGCTTTCAAATGAAAGGCATCCATTTTGGCACTTTCAACTTGATGTCTTCGCTGAAAAACAAAGCACTTTGAACTCAAACGTGCGTTTTTGTTGACAAAAGGCATCCACTTAAGCGTTTCAGTTTTTGTCTGTCACATGCGCGTTGCACCTGACATCTGTGTTGTTTCACACTTGACATGTGGACACGTGACGCAATAGCCTGACTTGACATCCATTCGTCCTGGATCGCATGCAGCGGTGGCAGGAGGGAGACCAGGTCACGTTATGGGACACGCGCTCGAAGCACTGCCAGCGGGGTTCTTCAGCGCCTGTGCCTGCGCCTGCTTGCTGGTGGACATGAAGCCTTCCTCCCACACCTCACTGCCGTCGTCAGTGTTTTTGGCCTATTGTTGTGGGCGAGCCCCTGCGTCGGCTTGCCTGATGAGTCTGGTTTGTGATGAGGAATGCGCTTATATCTGGCCAGCTCCAGTTGGTGTCGCGGTGCCGAGAAAACGGCCCACGCTCTGCGTACTTGGACTGACCCCCGGCAGCGCATTCGGCTCCAGTTTGCTCGCGCCCCGGTCTCGTGCTTTGGTGTTCAGCAGAGCGACCCTCTGGGGGCGCTGCTGTTCGCGGCCGTTCTTGACATTTGAGAAAGAGAGTAGGAATTATATTCAAATTGGCCCAGGAATCCCGTATAACTTCGGACATGAATCCAGAAATCCCACTAGCTCTACACGCAACACTTGGTTTCTCGAGACGCAAATGGCACCGTGCCATGCATTGCGGGCGCCAGCTATGCATCTCAGAAAATGCAACATTGCATGACAGACGACGTGCTCCCATCGTTTAGTTTTAAGTTCCAAGCGTCGCCGAAAAACTTGCACTCGCAACAACTCTCAGCATAGTGCTGTCGACAGAATTCAATGAGGGTTTGCGCAACTACTTAGACAGGAAGGCAAAGGCTGCATTTCGACATTCCACAGAAATCTGTCGTCTAATCCTGCATGATGTTTCGATTGCCAGGCGGGATTTTCTGCTTGCTGTGGTCAGGACTGTTGACACACCTCACACTCATGTTCGTCTTGAATGCCCAACCGTGGAAGGACATTTCCCCTCAAGCCCAAGGATCTTGCAGCGGGAGTTCGCAAAGCTGAGTATCAGGAGACAGCCGTGGTTGCAAGGGCACGGGCAATGTCTGCGCAGCTGCTGCAGGAATGCTTGGAGCGTGTTCAACGGATCATGATCAGCTCGCGAACATTTTCTGAGGTTTCAGGCTGGAGCAGTGTGTATCCTTGTACAGTCGAAAGGGAAGTTAGCATGGTTAGCATCTTGCACTTTTGTGTGCCGTTTCAGATGGGGTGACAAAATTCACACCATCCACGATACCTTCGGAAGGCGACAGGGTGCTGCTGGCACGACTGGGTGAGTGCAGGAGAGTGAAAATGCAAAAGCCACCACACACCGTAGTCTTGTGCTAAGTTGCACCGTGAGCCAGGTGGAATGTGTGGGCGACGAGCATTTGAAGCTTCTGCTTCTCAGCTGCGTTCATCGACTTGCCGAGGCTTTGCAGAGACACTGCAGCTTTTTTTCCTTCACCCTGGCCCTCCCGGGCCCTCCGGTGGAAAATCTGCACTCTGTGCCAAGCAGTTGAAGTTTTATTGTCGATGCCAGCCCGATGATCCCGCGATGTCGCTCTTTTGTTTATTGTAATTTCTCTTGTTAGCACTTGGGCTGGACGTGCTTTGGATCCTTTTGCACAGCATGTTTTCTTAAGGTCTCATTTTTGAAATTCTGAGGTGTCCCATCACGCTCACGCGACCGGCTACTTTGCCAGTCAGAGGCCTCGGCTGTGTTAGGCCTCCTAACTTTTGAGCAGGTTTCGTTGGCCCGAGCTTACGCGTGTTTTTGTAGTGTAAGCCATCGCAAGCCTGCTTAGAAGGTGAGCAGTATTTCATGGTCAAAGCTTTAGCCATCTTACCCTAGGGCCTAGATCTTGCAAGCGCACAGGCACAGGATGCCGGCATCTCCAGCCGCACCCTCAGAGCCGCATGGTCCATGTCGATGTCCACGGATGTCCACGGTCCAGGGCGGTTTATGGCGGTTTCTTGCGTGGACAGTTGTGGACCTTCGGTGAGGTGCCTGGACTTGGACGCGTACCTGATATCCAATTTTCGGATGAAAGCATTCAACAGCCGCTGGCGCTGCCCAACCTGTAGCTTGGAACTCAGGCCAGAGCCAAGTTTTGCTTCATGATCTTCATGGCAGAAGCACTTTCGCATTTGCCTCATTTGCCCGTCCAAGTTTGCAAGATGCAGGCCGGGCGATCTTGTCGTCGACTCCTTTGTGCAGAACCTGCTTACGCAAACCACAGACCAGACGGAAGAGGACTTCGCTTTTGTCAAGTTCCAGATGCCTGTTGCTGCAAGCCCTCTTGCTCGCAGGTCTTGGTTCTGCCTGATGGAAGCTGGCGCTTCTGTGATCCAGTGCCCCAACGCGCAGCTCTCAGAAGCCCATGTGCCCTGCAGCAGCACAAGGCCGCAAGGCAGTACAGCGCCAACAGCGCTGCGGCCCATCGCCGACGCGCGATGCTGCCAAGGTGACCCGTCGCCGTCACCAGACACATGGCCGCCATGGCCCACAAGCCGACAGGTGGGGGGGGGTGGCCTTGAATTGATTTGAGCCACCTCGGGCCTCATCGATGCCGAACCTCATCTTCACAATACCTCACGCTCCTTTTAAGTCGTGTCTTCCGTGTATTGACAGCCAGGCAGACCACACCGACGCCGCGAAGGCCGCTGCAAACGTGGGCTGGAGACGAATGGAAGCGATGAAGCATAATTGAGTTCAGTGCCAAGCGGCAAAGTACCCACTTGTAGAGGCTATGAAGACCGCAGGAGCATGCAGGAGTATGTGTTTCGCAACATTCGTAACGTGCGGGGAAGGCACGTCGTCGGCAGAAGCGCTTGGAGTCTCGGAAGCAAGGCCTGGCTGGCAAAATTGAGATGTAGGACATTTTAGGGCACAATTCGCATCGGCTGGGTGTGTCGAGTCCATCCTCAGTCCTTTGACCAAGCATGCTTGGCACAGGAGAGCGCAAGCAAGCTGCCAGCGCCTCAGAATGTCTCAGCATGTTTCAGAATGTCTCAAAATGTCTCAGAAAATCTCAAAACGTGCACAGTTTGCTTTCTAGAGCCGCATGCATGGGCGGGGGGGGCCTCCGCCCCCCACCCCCTTGATTATTATGGGGCTGGGTGGCCGGGGTTGGGATTCTACCGGCAATTTGTTGTGGAATGAGTTCCCTCCGGACCGCCTCTCGCCTCCCATCACGAGAGACCCCAGAGACCCCGGGCGCACAATAGGGCTGCAAGGACCATGGTTTAAAAGCAGTGAAAGGAAAGGCTTCATGGGCTTCATGAAGCAACATGCAGTGCCACAAATAGATCGCTGACTCGAGTGGAGGCGGCGTTGGGAAATCAGTTCTTCTGGGCGTCGCACGGCCACAGAAGAAATGCAGAGGCAAAACCAGGCAATCGTCCAGCAAACGGTTCAGGCACCACGAGAAGGCTGAGAGTTGACAGGGTATCTAATTGGCAATTTTGCCAAATACGAGATGCAACGAAATGTGTAATGCATCTGCGTATTCTTTGCGCGCATGTTGAAAAACATGATGCTTGCAGACATCTGCAGACGCAGCTTGCGGATTGGCTTCGGGTGGGATTCGGAAATGCTTTTTGCCGGCGTGGTGCCTGTAACAAGTCTTTCGGACTGATGCGCCGCAATGGGGTTGCTGATGTTGGTGGCATGTTGCAGGGAGTGCCTCAGGGCACCCACCCAGAGTCATGGTCCTCTGACTTTCAAGGTGCGTCCCAGAAGGCAGAAGTTGCGCAAAGCGCCTGTAGCAGGACTTGCTGGGAGTCTAAAGACAGTGGCAAATCATGATGGACAAAAGAAGAGTTGGCTCAAAGGACCCGTCAACAGACCTCGTCGTGCTCCTGCTCGCGTTCCTGTTCGTGGGCAAGGTCGGCTTCGTCGAATATTTGGGCGTGAAATGGCTCTACGTACCTGCTGGTTCTTAGAGCTTCCGGAGTAGTACACTGCAGCAACGTGTGCTTGGCTTCAGGAGCCCAGAAGAAGCTGACGACAAATCAGGCCGCTGCCAGTCCCAAGACAACAACTTTTTTGTGCCGCGGGCGACACATCAGGGGTACCTTCTAAGCATACTGCGAAGCCCACAACATCAGGCAAGGGCTGGAGTCCGATTCGAAAGACGTCCAGTTCGAACTGCTGCCGCCAGACGGGCTGCAGTGATTGCAGCTGGACCCAACAGGAGTGTCGGTCACGATCCCAGCCTTTTGTGCAAGACCTGCGCAGAGCCGCTATGGGCCATGATTGGTTCTCAGCCAGGATCAGCATGATCAGCACTACTGCAGGATAATGAGGACTGTTTCACATTGACATGGCAACTTCTGCCCGCGGGCAACAGAACTGCACAATGAACTGCACATGTGGTTCAGTATCCAGTTTTAGTTAGTCAGCACGGAAGAGGAACGAAGAAAATCTTGCCCAGGTGTCGACTCAGATGCTTCGCCTGAGATGGTGTCTGATTCTGACGTGGATGGCGAGCAAAGGCAGAAACCCAAAAAGACACTGCAGGGTGCGGGAACTGGCTGCTGTATTGTGCTGTGCCCTGCATTGCTTGCCTTCCATGTATCCATGTATGTGTCTACTACTATGGGAAGAGGTGAGGGTCTGGTGAAGTGGACTTGGGCTTGCTCAAAACTTAGGTCATTATAGCACTGCAGTTGTCGCAGCAATTGCCGCTGCGTTTGTCTTCAAAACTCTTCAAACAGAGTGTCGTGTCATTCGTGTGGATGAAACTAGAGGGTGGAGTCTCCCTCGAAGTCCGAAGAGAACGACACTTGACACTCCAGTGGTACAGAATGGGGGACCCCTAGGAAACGTAGGGGCGTCTAAAGCAATTTCAGCAACTCTTAAACTTGACCTCTTCCATCTACTCACTATACTTGCAGGTGCTCCTGCTGTTTGCATGTACGCAAGAGCATGCAACTAGCTTAGGCATTCAGGGCATCACGCTTGCCAGAATGTTGGGTTGGGTCACCACCGCAATCTTGCTAGACATTGTTCGACTCCCTACATGTCTACAGTCTTTCGGCACGATTTGGTTCTTGCTTTCTGGCTGCTTTCTTGACGCCCTTGCAACTCGCAGCCTAGCAGCTGCACAAGGCATCTAGGATGAGACCAAGTGCAGCTGTCGACAGCAGAAGCATGGTCCCCCCTGGTCCCTGTCACTGCAGCACCCCAAGAAACACTTCGAATCCGTCGAACCCTTTGGAGCTCACTTTGCTTCCGAGACATGGAAAGAACATGCCTCGGCAAGGGGCACGAAAGAAACAACGGCAACGAGCTGTCGGGAAGGCAACTTGACGCAGTTCTAAAACCATAGGGTGACATGAGGTCAGCAAAGGTTTGGAAAGTTCGAGCTGTTCTGGATGATTGACCTAGGCCTCGCAATTTGGGGCCAAGAAGCTGTCGCAAGCATCAGAAGGCCAAGGCGTCGGACTAGGTCCACGGCACTCGGTACCTGATGTCTTTGCCAGTTGCGCAGGCAAAAAGCCAATAAGCCGATCTGAACGCGTGGGCCCTGCAGTGGATATCGAGGCAAAGACCGGAGTTCTTTTCGGACTCTGTAGCAGCAAGCCAGTATACTGGCGCGCGGGATCGCGCGGGCATATGCCAGGCGGCACTTTCAGGGAATGGCAAGCATTGCGAGAAACTCTTCGAGTTGGGCTCTCAGTGTTCACGGCTCACGGAATCACGCGGGGATCCGGAGCCCAAATCTGGGTCAGTCTTGGATTCGCGGGCGAGGCTTGCCAACCGTCCTGCCATTCGCGTTGCGGTGGCTGGATCATTTGTGGAGGAGGGTTGCCGAGCTTTGATGCAGTGTGCCTTGTTCTGGGCATGACGCTGGATGCTGTGTTTCAGAAATAGATGAGCAGGTTTGCCAGGATCGATCTACGCAGGAACACAGCGGCGGAGTTGTGATGGGCTGAGACGGGCTGAGAGCGACATGATCCGGGAAGCGTGATATGTTCTTCCGTACATGGCAAAACTCATGGTAAGGCTTTCATGTATGTTGATATATGTTCATGCACGGTCGCTGGCAATGAACTCCGCCTTGCTGTCTGACGCATTGTCTGTCCTTGAAGACTTTGAAAACACATTGATTGCCCTCTTCACCGCACATCAAACCATTGCTTGGAGAGCAGCCGCGTCAGTTGAATAAATGGGGCAAGCTCGCTTGGTCTCCCTTGTCTTGATTATCCAACTGAGTAGCAACTATAACTACAAAAGCAACGACCAAGTTCAAAACTAGGGTCAAGAAGCAATCCCGCCTTTAAATGCATTTCAGATACTTCAGCCTTCGAAGCCGGTTTCAGAGTTTCGAACGTGCATTGTATCATGTTTTATTGTCGCCACCCCAACGCTGCGGCGACACCGTGTTGGCAAAGCTTGGGTCGACCAAACAAGTTTTGCGGTGTCTTCTTCCGTCGGGAGTCCGAAGTTTCATAGATGGAGTTATGCACGTCAGGCTCTCATGCTAGCTCTCATCGTTTGATGTATGTGTGAGGTGTGGGAGACGGCTTTCTTCCTTCTGCGATATTTGCAGAAAGCTGTCGTCCCAGGCAGGGTGGCTTGCATGCTCATTGAGCATCATGTTTCCTTGCCAGCATCAATTCATGAACGTTGCAGATCTCGTCAAGTCTGGCAGCATGTTTCATGTGACCTAACCGTTTTGCCGTAATCGTTTGCAACTGCGGCTTTGCGACGAACTGGGCTTGGCCGACGAAGCCCTGGCACCTCCTGTCTTTGAACCTTGTCTGCTTCCTAAGTTCCTCCTCCAACATTGAATGTGGAGTGTGCAAAATTTCGGTTGAGAGTATTCAGACCGAGCACGGGAGGGCTGCTTGTCTGTAGATTTTAGGTTCACGGCGAATTGTGGCGAATTCTGCTCATGAACCCTCGAGAGTCTCGAAAGTCTCGAAAGATCTTGACAGGCATGCGGCAAAGAACCGCGCGACGCCTCCGCGCTGTTGAGCCCCGTGCTGAGAGAGAGAGAGAGAGAGAGAGCATCTGAGCTGCTCCACGGCTATGTGTTTGTGCAACCGGTTGCAAAAGCATTAAGCATTAAGCCTTAAGCGATGGCAAAAAGCAGAAGCCTTTAGAAGCTTCCTGTGGTGCTTTCTGACATGCGATTTGTTGCAGGCTTGGAGCAGGGTGCGGTCTGCTCGGTTTGGGACTTTCTCGGCTTGGATGTGAGGCAGGAAATCGGATAACCGATTCACTCATAAGAAGACATACTGATGAAGATGCATAATTAGTCAGTAAGCTGTGGTCCATACTTGTGAAAGGTCGTGCTTACAGAGCAGAACGTTGCCATGGACAACTTGATGCGGAACGTGGAGGCATGTCTCGCAAGGGAGTGCGGGGAGTTGCCCCTCCCCCTTCCCCCCTCCCCCTCCCCACCCTGCCCCCTCCCTCCTCCTCCTCCCCCATACCTCCTCCTTCCCCTACGCCTTCCCCTCATTCCTTCCAGACAGTGAATAGATCGCCGCCGTACGACTTTTGATCCCCGCGAAAAGATGTGAGAATCGGCTCCGGCCCGGGGAAAGGGATGATTGTTTCAGGGGGGTCTGTTGTTGACGGTTGACTGTGACAAACCGAGCACTAGTACCATTTTTCTGATAACAACGTTCCAATGTCGCATAAACACGCGCCGAAGATGCCCCTTTGTAGCTGGCAAGGGCAAATCATGTGGCAGGGGCAGCATGTCTGAGCTTTGAGAGCTAGGGAAGGTGAGAGTCTAGCGGACCGAAATCGAAGGAAACATTGACTAGAATGCGCTGGGGCCTAGGTTTGGGAGACATGAGGGCGGTCGAGGTCCAGACATCAAGGAAGCACCGGCAACAGGTCTGTTTTTGGAGCTTCAGCCAGTTCTTGTCTCGACGGACGTCTTTGGGTCCGTGGCCCAGGGCCCGCACTCGCTCCTTCCTATACATGGCCAACACGTGCAAAATTGTTCCGTGCCCTGGCTTTCCACGGAGACGCTGTGTCGCGAGCACGGAAATGTCTATGGTCTTCGGGGATGATCTCCCCAGCACTGGTAACACGGACGGAATCATCGTGCGGGCATGGATGCTCAGGCCAATCGCACGCACTGGTGGAAAACGTGGCAGGCGCGTGCTTTTCTATGTGCACCTCCCTGAAAACACTGTAAATACCGATGTGGCCGCGGCGTCGCCGGCGCGTGTTCACGTGCCGTTGGTACCGATAACAGAGGGGCGAAAGGGGAGGGAAGTGGGAGGTTCGGGAGTTTCAAGGTGCAGAGGAAGTTCGAGTGTGTTTCGAACGGGTAGAAGGGCCGCACACGATGCACACGTGTGTAGATGTAGCAGGGAGTGATGCGCGTGTACTTCCCAAACATGGGACGTTGCTAAACGTGATTCGCCGAACGTTTACACTGACCAGAAAACTGTCCAGACGCCGGGCGATATTGTTGAGTGCAGCAATCTGAACCAAATAAACCACGTGCATGTAAGAATTAACAAAGAACGGGGGGGCCAGCACGGTTTAGCGGCCAGCGGTAAGGAGTGAAGCCGAGCAGCCTAGCGTAAAATGCTGAAAATAGAGGCCTCACCAAGACTGAAAACCCAGGAATGCCCGAAGCAGCGAGTCTACACACCACAGGGACAATGCAGGCTACTGCTGCTACTACTACTAGTACTACTACTACTACTGCTACTACTACTACTACTACTACTTCTACTACTACTACTACTACTACTACTACTACTACTACTACTACTACTACTACTACTACTACTGCTACTGGGAGAGCAACAGCTAAAGAGACCACCGGGCGTTCAAAGTTCTGCCTGTTGCTACCTGCAGTTGTGTTTTGGCAAGTTTATGCAGTGGCGAGTAATGCGAACACGAAGAATGATGAGAAGTGCGTGTGCCTCTGAAGCCCCTTTGAATTTGTTCTGAGGTTGGGTTTGCTGACGTACACGGGGGTTGTATCAAAACGTAAATGTGCCCTAAACCAAATTACACAAAGCAAACATGTAATGGAAGATGATGAGAATGAAAATATCACCAGCGTTCAGGCTGCAAACAGGAGCCTGCAAGGAGACCATGTTCCTGCGCAGGCTCAGCATGGAAGTGTGCCAATGTGTCGGCAAATGTTGGCAAGCATCGGCGGTGGCTCGCGCTGGGAGAGGCCATGGAGCTCGAGTGGGGCAAGGAGGCAGACCTGTCAGCTGTGAGAAGCACAGGCGCCAATTTGATGAGTGCAAAGCACCGAAAACACAGTTAAAACAGTGTTCAATCCTTTCCAGGATCCTTTGACCTCGTCGTCGGCTCGGACATTGTCTTTGCCACGCGCCTTGTTCAGTGCGGCCCTCACAAGCAAAAGAGCTCGCCAGTATGTTGTTTCCGAGCTCACACAGGCCCTTGATCTTGACTATCCTGGCACTTCTGCAGGCCTGTGATATCCCTTGACGCTTGATGCCCGTCATTCGCATGGCACGGATTTGATTTTCTGGGCCTGGCAGGGATCCTCGAATGCAGCATGTTGGCTCTGCGTCCAGAGGCTGGGTGATGACAAGAACCTGCCAGGCTTCTAGCCTTTTCTCGCTCTGGTTGAGTTGTCCTAAGGCGTGATCCAGATGCGCATGCCTTGCTGTTGGTGGAGGCCTGTTGGAGACAATGCAGCCTTGCTGTCGCAGCGTGAGTATTGAGACATGTTTTGGCACTCAGGCTGCCAAGCACTTCAATGTCAACGAGCTCTCTTTTGCAGGCTCGTGTGTTGTACAGCGAACATCAGATCAAGTTGCTGCACAAGCTGTCACGCAGTGTCGGGCAGGTTGCGATGGTTTAGAAGCGGCCTGCGAGCTTGAGCAATTTGGTGGCACCGTGCGTAGCAGCACGCTTTCGTCGAGTTTTTTTTCACAAAGTATGTGTGCCCCGTCAACCTGAAGTCAACTCTGATGTCAACTCTTCGACGGTTAGCTTCTTTGACTTAAGGTGTATCCTGCTGTGCTTCACGCTCTCGAACGACCGGGAGCGCCTGGTTGACAACATGCCAACGCAGTCTGAACGAGAGCGAAGAGGCGCCGACGAACCGATACAGAACGATGGCACAGGAAGCGTGGCAAGCGTGGCAAGCGTGAAGCGGGGCTCGCCTGTGAGTAAGCAGCCTCTGCGGAAGACCAGCGACGCTAGAAAACGCCGGAGACATTCCACGCAGAAAAGGTCAAACAACCTTTACTCGGGGCAGAGGAGGGTCGGTCAGTGGACATTTTATTCCCTATGGTAATCCTACAGGATCCCGAATTGAAGACCACGTTGTCGAGGTTATGTGTCGTATTTAGTCGGAGTCTCATATGATCTTCCGAATCTTCTCATGCTGCCTGATGATTCTAGTGTGTGTGTGTGTGAGAGACGGTGCAGTCCGTGAAGCCAGATGAGACTCGTGAAGTTGCACCGTCTGAGATGTAAACATTGCTTATGAGTGTTTTCAGCAGCCGCGACACTCAATTGTTACAGACCTTTCAGGAGGGGCGAGTCTTGGTTGCATTTTCGTTGTCTCTGGTTGAATGTGTTGAATGTGGCTTGGAATCTGTTGTTGTGAGTTTTGCACAGTCATCCTGTCAAGTAGGCCTTCGGCGCTGCTGCGGGATCGAGGTAGCTGATGTTGTGAGGAAGATTTGAAGAATGCCACGAGGACATGGAGCGCCTGGAGGCAGTCCCCGCGCTGTTCTCAATGCCAACCTCAAAGGTGATTTGGGAGATCGCGAACAAAGCAGGATGAGGTTCAAATGGTAGCCAGCTCTCCTCAGGTCACAGGCATTCCGATGCCACCAGCAGCATGGGCGTCTCGGCTTTTGGCCGTCTGTCACCTTGAGCCCTGGTTTCTCGATGTTTCTCACCTCTGATTTTTCTGTCTCTCAGGAGCTGGTGTCGATATGGTCAGAGGTGTGGGATGCACCACGTGCCGGGCCTGGGCTTGCACTGCTGGAAGTCTAAAAACTCCATCTTAAAATGGAACCGACGACTCCCGCGAATGCATGGTTCCTCGGGTCTGCATGCGAAATGGCCTGCCGGTTCCAACAACTGATTTCAAGTAGGAGAGGAATCACGGGGCCAGATCTTGGCCAGCCGAAACCTGAACCGGCGAACCTGCGGTTGGTCTCTTTCCGAAAATCACGGCCTTCCTTCAACTCTTCGATGGGCCCAGATTCCGAGATTGCTTGTATAGGCATTCTGCGTTGTTTGGAGCCCGCCGTTGCTACTTTTGTGAAACTCGCTTGTTGAACGGTGTTGCAGCGGCACGACAGCCAGACCCTTGCCGTTCGAAGCCTGGCTCTTTGACTCTTTGACTCTGGCTCTGTTCCAAGGCTTTAGAGCGCATGGCCCGGCTCAGACGCGTCGGCTGAGTCGAGAGGCAAGCTCCGCAGCTCTCTCTCTCTCTCCCATAGATGACCTTTACAGTGGCACCCTGCCATGCCCTAGAGAACACTTTGGCAACCCTTTCGGCGACCTGTTGGCAACCCCTGGCCAGGCTGTCATGCCCTTGCTGAAGCTGGCTGCCTCATCCGTGGCGGTTGCTTGCTTGCACTGTGTCCGTTGACGATGGACTCAATTTCCGCTCGACGTACCAGATGCACCCGCCCAGGCAATACAGAGACACTTGCAAGGCACCACGACGCCAACGCTGCCAACGGTGCTCAGGGGGCAGTTCAGCGTGCAGAAGGGTGACATTCGGGTATAAGTTATTTACTCAAGTTGGCGGAACCCTCGCTTTGCTTATTTCTGTCTAATGCAAAGGGCGTATTTGTTCCCAGCAGATCGGAGGTGCCTCCGCATGGCGCCTCCAGAGAGCTTCTTGCAGTGCCCTTAGAGTGTCGAGCCTTTTGTACATCTTGTACTTCCCGGCTGCTCCTGCGTGTCCCCTGCAGAGCTGCGATGTTGCGGCACATCTTGACACAACTTGAAACACAGATGTTGACAAAGGTTACAGTTTCATTTTAGGCGGTGATCTTAGAAGCAGCCTCGTAGGTGTCTTGCACGTCTGCGAAAGCGGCAAGTTAACAAACAACAAGAACGAATCATGCCGGATGTCGCCCATTTTCTTGCTTGACTGGGCCTGAACTCTCATGGCACACGCCACAAAGCGCCCTGCATCTCCTGGGGAAGACGCAGATGAGGACGCTACTGATCGGAAAGTGCTCCGCAAAGGGTCCTCCTGGCAGACCTTCTCGAGCTCTGACCCCCTCTATGCATTGATGGGCGAGGTGCAAGAGAAGAAAGTTGTGTCAGAGGATGGGCAGGTGAATCAGGAAAGATTGGGTCGATGCCTGCAGATTCTGGTCATGGAGCAGGCCGCGCAGAAGCCCAAGGATTGGATCGAGTTCTGGGCAGCGATGAATATTCCCGTCGAGTGCCAGTCCAGCGTACTTTCGGAGATCGTTGCCTTCTGCTTGAGCGTGCCCCCCGTGGGCGGCCTTGGTGCTGTCCTTGCCGAGCTCATAAAAGGCCACCGTGTGAAGACGAGGGCTGTGGAACAGGCCGTGGAACAAGCCATGGCCGGAGGTCAGGACACGGGCGGCGTGTTACGTCAGATGCTCTTCAGCATCTACCCGAAGGGCCCGGACTCCGACTGGGGCTGGTCTCGCGTTGGGTGGAGCTGGCAGGAGTGGTGGAAGATTGTTGAAAGGACGATTGGCTGCCTTGATAATCTGGCTGCCTTTGATGAACTGGGCCTGCTGCTGGAGCGCTTGGAATCAGAGGGTAAACCGCTTGCTCAACAGCAGATTTGGTCTGAAGCCAGGTTGGCCAAGGCTGGGACATGGGATCTAATCACCAAGCGACCCTAATCAGTAGCAGCACACGTGGGGCTCTTCAAGCGATTCGCAAGATGTTCTTGAGCCCTGAGGTTCGCGAGTCTCTGTGCAAGTTTGCTGATGTGTCGGACGCTGACTTGCAAGCATGTCTTTCGGCCAGTCTCACAAGCCGGACAAATCCATAAGAGAAGCAAAGAAAGTCTCGCGACTCATTTTGCTCAAGCAGCCTTTTGAGAAGTTGCAAGTATGTAGCCCTTCTGAAGCGTGTGAGTGCGTGTGCCCAATGTGCGACACATCAGTGATGGGCCAGCATGCCAGAGCTGATTGATTGTTTTTGTATTGTGAAGGTAGCTGCAGTAGATGCGGAGTTTCGAGGTGTGGCACTGTCAGTGGGCGCCCAAGCATGATGGACACCGCAGATGGTGCTGGCGGGGGTGCGGGTTCGTAGTGTCTCGACAAGGATCCGCAAGGCAAGCCGGTGGAGTTCGTCCGTGAGCTGGTGCAGGCATCGTTCATGACAGGACAGGAAAGTGAGACAAACAGAGAGAGGACCCGGTAGGTTCGTCCCCTGTACCTGCCAGCAGAAGAATCGCAAGACCGTAAGAGAAATTGCTACTGGTCCCAATGCTCACGCTGCTTGCAAGCGCTTGTGTGCATCGCCTCGGCAGCCGGGCCGGCCCAAGCCACGGGACGTGCATTTCGGCAGTCCAAGTCGAAGGAGTTTCCAGTCACGGTCGGGTTGCAGATACGGAAAGCGACCACGGGTCGAGGACAAAAAGAAAAGAGGCAGCCGCACTTGCTAAAGGGCCTGCAGACACACGGGTCCGCAGGACGCGTTTTTGCTGCTTATACCTCCTTTCGGGGTTGCTTCACTAGAGCATCTGCTAGGACGCAAAATGCCGGACGCAGTGGTCTCGTCTACCCCCAAAATCATCTAATGACGCGAAAAACGGTTTCGGACTTCCGATGCCGTACTCACTCTTTGACTGTTGAGGGCTTGCGGCATTTCTCCCTGAGGACGTTAAGATGAACTAACGTTCTACATTGTTTAGCGTCTAGGCCTCTTTTGACACAGCGGTTCTTCATCTACGAGAACGAATTTTTCCTTTCGGTGGAGAGTCGAACTCATCTTGCCTTCGGATGGAGCCTTTCACCTTCGGAATAGTACAGGCTTTTCAAATATTGCTACGTTTTGCTGTGGTTTCAAGTAGATGCCAAGATGGAACATTCTGTTCATATAGGTCTGAGGCCTTTGGACGTAGCATGCCTGTCGACATTCGCCGTTCAGGATTCACTCCCCTCTAGGGGTCAAGCCGCTGCGACAAGAATGAGACTTTCCCCTACTCATTGGGTTCAGGCCTGTTCAGTCGTCTTCTCAAGGTCAAGGGCTTCTGGTGAATACTTACTAGCATACGTACATAGCCACATATGTAGCCTTTAACATGCCACTCCCTTATGAACATGTCGCGCCATGTTTGCATACATGGTCGCGCGCACCAGACTGGAAAGCAGGTTCCAGGCATGTGCCCATTAATCCCCACCTCCTTCGCAGTGTCCTGATTTCGGATGCACGGCACGTCACCGCATGCAGCGAAGTGGAAACACGGTGAAATCTGATGGTATTAGCGCATTGGCACAGCTCGAGTTCGTCATGTGAATGCAGGAGTGTGATAGTGCTGTCGGCAGAGATTCATTTACCGGGTTTACCGCCCTTTGCAGGAGACGGCGAATATGCGGACGGCATGTCTGAGGCAGAGGGGGATTGTGCTGCTGTTGGCGCTGAAAAACCTAGAGGGAGGCGGGCGTAGCACTAACGATCAACTCAGTCACCAACACGAATATTGGAACTCTGAAAAGCAGATACAGGAGAGATCAGAATATGGAGAAGAAAGCACTGAGCTCATCATCGGCAGACATCAGGAAGTCTTTCATCGGGAGGGCGGACAAAGTAACAGATCGTGCAACCAACTTCGATGGAGCTTTATATCTTCTAGCCAGATGCGGCTGTAGTGGGAGTTGAGTTACATCCAGGTACAGTCCCACTTCAAGATTGCTTCAATTGACTTTATCAAGGACCATGGTGAACTGTTTCGTAGTCGCATCTTGTTGCCACTTGAAACTGAATTGAACAGAACTCGGGAATGATCTCATGGCAGTTTGGGTTTTCAGATCACGTTGAAATTTAAAGGCCACCTTGTTTCAGTCGTGTTAAGCTGCAAGTTGAAATCATAGTCCCGTCGCACACAGATCCTAGCAACTCTTCCTAGCGTTTTTTGTTAAGCAAGCATATGAAAAAGCGTACGGCCTTCGGTTTTTTCATATCGATAGGGCTCGCCGCTTGAGATTGTGACCCACGATGTTGAGGCTTGGAGGGGCATTGCGGAATACGAGAGGTGGATTTAGACATGGAGGGTGGAGAAGAACTTCACAGATATGGCGAGGCAGGAAGCACTGGTCTCCCTCAATCGCAACCCTGAGGGCAGACGCCGTACATGCGCGACGAGCCGCGCGGATTCACAGCCCATGGCGCCCATTAACTCGCAACTACCTCCCCCCCTGCAGTCGCGCCGAACGAACGTAGGATAAGACAACACGGCGGCGAGGGCACGCGCGTGCCAGAGGGAGACCACCCGCATACAGCCCGAAGACACACCTAGCGATGATGACTCCCATCAGCACCCTGCCCGAGCATCCGAGTGCAAGTCGACTGGAATCATGGCATGGCTATAAGCGAAGACCTGGTGATGGACGTGGTGCTGCGCAACGATTACGGAAGGGGGTGTTTCAAAACCTCGCATGGAGGCCGGGACCGAAGACGAGATCATTGACGGACTCAGAGAGCTGGATCGAGGTTCAACCCCAAAATGCTATGAAGACAACATGCGGAAGTAGTGGGTGATAAGCTGGTTCTCGATAACGGGGTCGTACGGCAGCCGCACCAGTGTGCTGGTGGTGCCTTGAGACAGGATAAGACTGCAAATGTGCTGACAAGATGGTCGGTAGCGATGAGAGCGTTGCGACATGTTGTGACCATCGATCCAAGTCGCTCAGCAGGGATATCCGTCGATCAACGTCGCTCAGCAGGCTGCACCGAGACCGGCATGAAAATAGACCATCTTCAGAGCGGGGCGAAATGATTTTGGTTTTGGGGCCGATGCAACTTGTGGGTGTGTGTGTATGTGGTTGCACCAGTGAAGGGTGAGACCGGTATGAAATATCCATTGCTGCTGGCTCGCTCTGAAGCACTGTTGGTTTTTTCATCATTTGGTTTCGTGGAAGATTCAACATTCGACACGCCTTGGAAGATGCTTGTCTACCACTAACCAAACAGCTACATGGGGGTCGTCGCGATTTGCTGGTCCAAATCCACGATTTTCCAGCCAACCGTTCTCGGCCCATGGCCTTCAAAGACAAAACTTATCTTTGGATTTTGTTTCCGGAGACAGAGATGAGAGCTCTTTCTTGAAAAACTGGCAAATCTGGAAAATCATAGGGAGGCCCACCCAGGCCATGATTTGCTCTTTCACGGGAACACGGCAAAACAATTCTTTGTGTGAATATAGGTGGCACGACATGTAGCTCTTCTGATGTTCTGATGTTCGGCGTCAACATCGCAGAGATTGCTCGTTGCTACGAGGCGCAGCTCGGCGAACTGCTGAACAAGTGCTGTGAAGCCCAGCTGGACGGGAACCTGTTCAACTTCAGCGCTCTTTGACTCTTCGGCGCTTCGCTTCATCACTTTTGGACTCCTCGATGCTTCGACCATCTTCGACCCTCTTCACTTCGATGATTCGATGGCTCTTGAACCTGTGCATCCTGCAGCCTGGCATGTGACATATGGTCTTTTGTTGCATCGAGGAGTTTGCCAGATCGCTCACGCAGGATCCGACGGTGTGTTCCTGAGCCAGTGAAAGTAGTGAAAGTCTGTCAACATCTGTAACATGTCACATTTCCTCGGGTGACTTATGTTTTTCTCATGCCCCTTTTTCTGAGGTCACCTTGCAATCAGCCTTCAGCAAGCTTCAGGAGATTGTGTTGACCTCACATTCCGGTCGCCTATTGCACATGGGCAGTACCGTTGCCTTGGTTTGGCGAGAGAATCAACGGATTGCAAGCCAAAGGTGCAGCAAGTCCTTCAAACACCGCCAGAGGTACATTTGCTGCAAGCTATGCTGCGGAAGTGGCTGGTAACCGGAACAGGAAACGTCTTTTCACGGCTCCAGGATGGCGACCTTGTCGGCACGGCTGGACGTTGGCTGCTGGCCAGACAGCTGCAGAGTGTTGCGGAGGAGCGGAAGTGTGAGGGGGGCGGAGAGCGGTCTTGGGACATGAAGTGATCATGGGCGGAACGATGCGATCCTGCTCAGATCCAAAATGAGACCTTGAACAGCCATGAAAGATTTTGAAAGCCAGGGCGTAGTGCAGTTAGTGTCTTCAAGAGTCCAGCGACGAACAACACTTGAGCCGGAGTGAACACCGACAGAGATCGAATCTACTGGGGCACCCCGGTGACCCAAGAACCAAGAACAACAACCGAGGTGTTGGCTCAATATTGTCCGGCTCGGAAGAATTTGGCAGACAGGCATAGAACTCAGGAAACATGCGATCACAACTCTGGAAGCACGCGGAGACTACTCACGAATCTATCGGCTCGAGGGCGTCGGGTTCAGGCTTTTGACATTGAGTTTTTTTTCCTCATGGTTTTGGGATTTGGATTTCAGGGCTTGGGATGTAGGAAGTCAGTTTCCCGACGAGTTGAACTTCCAAACGTTGGAAGTTTTTGAAGTCAGCAGCATCTTTAGAAGTAGTTTGACTCGGCCGGGAGCGGCTCGGTTCGCTCCTACTGGGGACCATTTCAACCACGTTATTTTGCATACACGCAATTTTGTCAGTTTAGTTTCAACCATGTTTACACTTCTTCCCTTTAGGATATCCAAAGTTTACACAGGCAACTCAATAGCTTAACCGTTCTCCGAAAGTGAAGTAAGTTTAGACACATGTAAGCTTGACGATCGGTCTTCGGACACAAATCTGCCGTCAAATAGAGCACACAGGTCCTGCGCACTTTGCCAGAAGTAATGGAAGATGTGGTTTGACAAGCAAACGGCGTATGTCAACCCAGAGCTTTAGCACCCGCCCGGCGGATCCCGTAGCTGAACCTAGGACGCGGCCCACGTTGCTGCAAAAGAGGAGAAGCTCGAGGCATGCCGCCTCATTGGCTCGCCACAGTTTCATGCTTGCGGCAGTTGCTCTCGCTTCGAGGAAGCTGACGTAGAGGCAGATGAATCCACCACTGTGGACCCCACGGACCAGGAGTTCGACAGCGAGGCGCTGGGTGCCTGTGAGTGCCGGTGATTTTCGGTGTTACTGGGACACAATGCCCTGTGTGCATCGTTGATGTGTACACTCCAGCTGTCGCAGAAGGAAAGCTGATACGGCTTTTTGCTCAAGAAATGCCTCGGTTCCATCTTGTTAGTCCAAAGAATCCATCGTCCATTTCTGCTTTGATGCCGCCATGTTCTTGAAGCTCCTGCCGCTTTTGGCCACTGGATTTGTGGGATGCTATGGTGTCGATGGTGTCGGAACCGACCTGTGGACCAACTTTCTCATCTTTGATCATCACTACCTGCCGATGGCAAAGTGCTGGTTTCAATGGTTTAAGAAGAGCGCCTCCGCTCGCCCACTGCAAGTTGGTTGCATGGACGGCCCTTCTTGTGCAGAAGCGGAGCTTTGGCGACAGAGCTTGCAGAACAAGGTTGGAGGAATGAACATCACAAACGTTCTCAACCCCAGTCAAGTTGAGCAGACCTGGGTAGATATGTCAATTTCGACGGAAGGGGAGATGAAGCTTGTGCAGCCACATCCTGGCCACAGGCAGATGATCCGAAGTGAGGTTTCAACTGGTTCGGATTTTCCCAGAGGCAACTACATTCAAATGTATCACAAGATGCTCTGGGACTCACTGAGCCAGAAGAATGCTGTTCTGCATCTTGACGTTGACGCTCTGTGGTTGCGGAGTCCTGATTCGAGCCTGGCCCGGGTGCTGGAGCAGTTCCCAGATGCTGACATAATTTCATCTTCCAGTACGGAGTGGGACCCAAAGAAGATTTCAGACAAATGGGGTTTCGTCTTGAATGTTGGCTTTATCATGTACAGAAACACTGAAAGGGTACGGGAGCTTTTCGAAGATGATCTCTTGTCGGTCCCGACGGAAAAGCAGTCTTGTCAGGTACTTCTGAACTTTGCATTGGACCGCAGGGGCTGCCAATGGAGTGGAAGCAGCCTTGAAAACCGGGTCGGGATCTGTGGCGGAATCAAAGTCATCGCCCTTCCACAAACTTTCGTCTCGAGAGCAACTGATTTGGTGTACAACCCAGAAGATCCTACAATGCCAATCATTGCCCATCCGGACACTGGGCTCTTGCATCTCACTGGCATAAATAGGATGGAGAAGTTTCGCAAGATGGGTTTATGTACATAGACAGCTGTGTTTTGTGACGAGGCGGCGGTCGCATGAACATAAGCAGCTATCGATGTCTATCACGATGGGGAAGTCCATCACATTCCATCACCACGAGCTGCTCAACGGTGCTCAAAAGCGTGTGCTGTGAATACAGATCAACTTGACTAACCAGCAATAGGGGATAATAGGGGTTTGTCCTTTCCGAGCTCGCGATGTTGCTTCCGCCTGGTACGCGTAGCTAGTAGCAGGTTTCAAAGATGACGGAAGACAAGGAGGAAGATGACAGCGAGCCTCCTCTAAAGAGGACCAAATCTCAAGCTGCGAAGCTGAAGGTCGGAATCCCGGAGCTGACATGTTGTGCTCGCAAAGCTCCGTGACGTGACTCAAGTCTGGAGTGGGCAATGCGTTGGAACTGGAGGTGTGCCTTGGCATTTGCTATCAAAGGATTTTCATGGATTTTCAGGCGTCCCGGGCCTCTGATATGCAAGTGTTGTCTCCCCCCTGTCTGCAAAAATCATGAGAGCAAACTCCATGACTCCATGATCTAGGAACTATTTTCAGATTTTTCAAGCATGGCACCCAAAGATAGGACTCGGGCGTCCTACGTGACTTCGAGTCATCTGCCATAAGGGAGTCGTCAAGTAGCTACCAGCAACATCAGCTAGCAGTCAAGCTGTGTGAGAAGCCGGACGTCGTTGTCTTCTTGGGGGCGCGGGGGGGGGGTGGGTGGGCGGGAGGGCACGGGGTGCAAGCACAACTCCTGCGATCTGGCCTTGTAATTTGTCACAGGGTGATGGGATAGACTTCGAGAATTCCGGAAGGCCATTTAGAGACACGTCCCGGCTCCAATGAATACTTGCTTGTTCGTGCTGCCGCCGCCGCAGCACTTCCAGCAGAAGTCTGTGCCATGAGCCATGGCAGACGGGTGTCGGTGAGAAATGTTTGCGGTGCCTTGGAGCTGCATGTCTTTTGCATGTTTTTGCATGTTTTTGCATGTCTTTGCATGTCTTTGCATGTCTTTGCATGTCTTTGCTGCTCTTCCGGAGGCATGGGGCGGGGCCCACCTACCATGGCTGCTCGCGCAGCTTGTGACTTCAGCTCCTTGGCGCTGTCAAGCACGGTTAGAGACGGTTCAAGACGAACGTTTCTCGTCTTTTGTTCTCTCAATGCGCCTTCGATGATGTTGGATTCTGGAGTGTCTCGGGCTTGTCGCATCGAGACGAATTCCGCGAGAAACTTTGCTCGTCTGCAGCCAAACCACGGGTTCAGCTTCAGTCAGAAGACTCTGTGGGAGAGAGAGATGCGCGTAGTGCAGCCCTTCATGGCTGGTCGATATGGCTGGTGCTAGCACCCAGGCCTTGGGTGACTGTGTGTTCAGACGCGACTCGCTACGCCAGTGCCGACCAAAGCATGATGATTTGTGTGTTCTGAATGTGCTATAGTGAGCAAACAAGGCTTGAACTTGGCGATCGTGAAAGATGAGCATGGCATAGCAGAGCTCAACTCAGGTCAGTCGTTGTGCAGAGCGTCAATTTCGATGGTGCATACAGCTTGAACTTGCGTGAAGGCTGGGTCGGTGGTCGGGTGACACGTGCCGACTGATTAGAGCACCGTGAATGCGGAATTATTCGGTGATGCAAGGACATGGGGCCGCGCTTTCATCCAGGAATCGAGTAGTGAGAACGACATTGCAGTGAATCATCTCTGATGTTTCTGTAAAACGTAAGGATCTTGCGAGTTTGGAGTGGGGGTTGAGCCTACTGTCCACACATCAACGGGTACAGAGGCCCTTACGGTGCCTCCAAGAACAAGTGGCTCTCCGCGTACGATAGGTGAAGTCCACATGCTAATTAGTAGAGCAGTTCTTTTTCACCATTCGAGCCTTCCAAAGGTCATGAGCAGCCAAATGTACGGAGTAGCAGTCGAGTCGCAGAACTTGGAGTAGCAGGAGTTTCGGGTAGCCAAGTTCGTGCTTGGTGCGTTGTGTGCTTGTCAACGTTCCTTAATGTGACTGCTTCTCGCTGGCTGTCACGGCGTCGCTGACGCATTGATTTGCTGGTGGCAGGTCTCGACTGCCTCGGAGAGGTGCTCTGCAGTTTCATGCTCGACATGGCATGCGTAGTCATGCGTATGTATCTGTTGTCTGTTGTCTGGCTATGGCTGCCTGACTGCTGACGAACTGTGACACACCCTCCCAAGCCGTGCGAATGCCGTGCAGATCGTCGCGCCTCATGGGGCCGTCAACCAGTCTTTGCATGCAATTGCAGACTTTTACGAGCAGCCTTGCCCTTATTTCGAACAACTTTCAGACTTTCAGATACGTGCTGGTGACCCAGTTCTCAGATGCTCCCATGCTCTCAGGTTCTATGCATTCCGATACATTTGTGCAGACCCAGCAGCTTCGGAGCAGAAACAGGAGTGGCATTCGGTTTGGTTGGCAGACATTGCAGATGCAGTTTCTTTGAAGATCGATTCGAAGCAACCAAAGCTCTTATGAGAGGCCCCGCCTTTCAACTACGGAGTCTATGGCACATCACGAGGCCCGCTGTCGCTGTTCTCCGAGCTGCACGGAACTTTCAAAGCTCCCTCTCCTGCCGAGGGGGTGGAGCCTCAGCAGAGGCAAAGCGGGGTGAATTTTCTAAAGCAGTAGTTTGCTCGACGTCGCGTTTCTCTGTCGAGTTGACCCGGAAGTTTCGTTCGGACGGCTAAGCCCTACGCTCAGGCTGCTCGTGTAGATCTCGTTGGTGAGCTTCGAGCACTGGCAGCCGCAAGCTCAGATCTGTGGCGATCAGTGCGGGCCAAGCTCAGGTTCAGGGCATGTCACCAACTCATCAATGTGGCATACTGTGGCCTCATCTACTCGTACCCCGCAGCATGCCATCACCAAGCAGGTATGTTCTGCATGTGACCGGCCCATCCCTGCAGAAGCACTGCAGCCTGTCCGCTGATTCTGACAGATGACATGTGTTCATTGGTCGGCCTTCCAGTTAACGACCAGCAGCAGCAGCAGCAACAGCAGCAATAGCAACAGCAGCAGCAGCAGCTGCAACAACAACAGCAACAACAACAACAACAACAACAACAACAACAACAACAACAACAACAACAACAACAACAACAACAACAACAACAACAACAACAACAACAACAACAACAACAACAACAACAACAACAACACAACACAACAACAACACAACAACAACACAACAACAACAAAACAACAACAACACAACAACAACAACAACAACAACAACAACAACAACAACAACAACAACAACAACAACAACAACAACAACAACAACAACAACAACAACAACAACAACAACAACAACAACAACAACAACAACAACAACAACAACAACAACAACAACAACAACAACAACAACAACAACAACAACAACAACAACAACAACAACAACAACAACAACAACAACAACAACAACAACAACAACAACAACAACAACAACAACAACAACAACAACAACAACAACAACAACAACAACAACAACAACAACAACAACAACATTTTGCATTGCACTCACTGCCAGAATCAGCATGTGGACCTCTGATCACTTTGGATCCTCGGCAAGTCGGCTACTCTGTATCCGCCTTGGGAGCTCCAGCAGTCTTTGCTAGTTCGTACCTCGGGGCTGCGATAGCGCTGTGCTGGCTGGGCACCCTACGACCGCTTCCTACTGGCTCACCTGCACCCGCGACTGCTGCAATGCAGGCTGGCCCCGATGTTGTGTTGCAGGCTATAGCTGTGCGCTAGCTGAGTTTGGTGTGATTAAGGCGGGCAAGTTTGATATAGAAGGTCTCACCCGCCTTTGTTATTTCACAGTCCGGCCTTTTGGACCTCGAGAGGATCGCTTCCTCCAGATTGCCAGGTCTCACTACCTGCTATACTGAATCTGCTTTGGCAGAGTACTTAAGGATATTCAAGAGGAAATCTCCTGATCTGATGCAGCGAATCAATGAAGAAATTGAAGTTCGCACGGAGGCAACCTCCGACATCAAGTACTCAGCACTGCAAAGGTGTGAAAAGTAAGCACGGCCACCCCGACACCCTACTGTGAGTCACTGCGTCCAGCACCCACGCACCAGCTGTTTAGCGAGCCGTACCTCTTGTGAGGCCGACACTCAGCGTTCCCGTCTAGTGACGTCTCACACAGGTAACGCTAAACAACTGGCAGAGGGCCGTAGGCAGAGCGCACCAAGGCGGCCTTGCACGTTCCAAGTAGGTTGCCCAAATTGGATGCAGGGAAGCTGGGTTTGCGAAGCCTTACCTGGGACGCCTTGCGCGGCTGCTGGGGCCAGCGCTGCGACAAGGCAAATTTCACACCTGGGCGAGAAGAAGTGGGGTTAAGGATATGCAGGAGGAAACCTCCTAAACTGATGCAATGAATCAAAAAGGTTCAAGAAAACGGAAAGATTAAATAGAGATAGAAACAAAAGTGCACGCAAACTAAAGTAGATCAAGATTGCCAGCTTGCTGACTGAAATAAAGAATTTATAAATGTAGTTTGCCTGAAGCGCAAGCTGCCCACAACTGAGAGTTCCATCAAGTGTGAGCATGCACGCTGGTGCCAACGAGATGATTAGCTGCAAACAATGCTATCTGGAGATCACTCCCTGCCTGATTGTACAGAGCATCGGTTGACGTCAGCCAAATGCAGCCTGCGTCACGAGCGGTGTGCTCCGCATGGGGTAGGAGGGTGGGATCCCCATTGTGCAACACAGACTCAGGCATGATTTCTTCCTCGTAGCCGCTGATGGTCTCAAAAAGCCATCTGCTTTTGTTGCAAGGCTAGACAAGTGATATTGCAATCCCTTGCTGGAGAAGCTCCATTGCACTTGAATGTATAAAGAAGGTCTCAAGAAGATGAAAGATGCAAGCAAAATGGGAGGAAACCTCCAAGTGAAAGAAGGAAAGAGACACAATTATCAGCCTTTGTGCTAATGGAGTTCTGCCATACTAATGCATGGCTAGTCAGGCTGAGAGCCGCACCTCAAAAGGGCCGATTTATGTGTTGAAAAGTGTACAGGGAATCGGCGAGGTGCAGGAAGGGAGGAAGCCTCCGGAGGTAGCCCCCACTCATGCTGTGAGACCTGCCGAAATGGTGGTCCACTGTGCGATCGCTATGTTCATCTCCGCATCCTCGGCAAAGAACTCATCACGGACCTGCCCAACCTCTTGTTGGTACTGAGCGTCAAGATTCGGGGGCAGCATACCTGACGTATACCGGAGAATTTGCGTCTCCCGATAGAAGCTCTCAAGTTCGGTGAGGATCACGATGTAGTACCACGTTCCTTGAGTGGTGGGAAGCCCGGTGAACCTCATCTGGCTTAAGTAACGGAGGCTGATGCTCCGCAACTTTTGGCGTCGGGCCGCCTTAACTTCACGCCATTCATCATATCCGGTCAGTGACTGTGCTGCCCAATGCAGTGTCCTCAACCTCTCTCCTTGGAGCACCTCATGTGCGTAGTTCATGAACTGGGCAAGGATTTTCACCTTGTGAGTGTGGAGGTACTCCGCAACCCTTGCGCTGGTAGTCTCGGAGGAAATACTCGGGTCCTCCGCAACTACCTGCTGGTGCACGAGAGCAACCAGGAGCGGAGTGAGCGCTTGCACCAAGCTAGTGCTCTCCATTGGAAACTCGAGTGTTGATGGCTGGATTCGAGATTAGAATGGCTACTGCGATCGGAAGAGTGAGGCGGTTTCTTGTGGCGGGCAGGCATTGACCATTGCTAACAGGCATGCAAGAGCTATAGCTGAAAGCTGCACGGCTCAAGAACAAGGACTACAGAAGGAAGCGCCTGCCACTGCTTGTGGGCTGCGCGACGCTAGGCTCACCTGGGCAATGAGCAGGTGGAGGATGGGGAAACTCCTCTTAGAGCATGTAAATAGAGACAACTCGTGCAGGCTGTGACAAAGTCTTTGTTGCCTTAAGCAGAGGGCGTACTTGCTGTCTACTTTAAGATGAAGTGGAGGAATCCTCCGGAGGAAGCCTCCCGCTGCGAAAGTAGACCACGGCAGAACGAATTCGGTTCAGGTGAAACTGCTGAGAACTCTTTAGAAGGGCAGAGACTTGCCTGTGTGCCGATCAATGACAGTGCTGATGTGGGACAGGTCAATGGGTCCACGCGTCAGCAGTACTCCATTCTTCGCCCGACGCACTCTGTGTCCACTGTCGATCAAAGACGGCAGGTGAATCCAGATCTCCACGGAAGAGTCCTCCCTGAAGCCTGCAGTTTTGGTTGGTGACAAAGACATATGTATGTCACGTCTTTGCATTCTGCGCAGCTGAGAGGAGCGAATCTGCTGCCAGGCCCGCCAGCTCGTCCCGTGGACACCCCACTCCGGTGTTGTGGAGGAGGTCAGAACCTCATGCAGTTGATCGTCGTCCAGTGGAATGTCATGGCCATGACCCTGTAAGGCTCTGATGTAGATTTCGCCGTCTTCCTCTGAGGTCATCTGCTCCATGCGGACCTTCTGTGAGGTTTCCAGTACTCGCTGTACTTCATGAACCGTCACTTCAGCCCGCCAAAATTGCCTGGAATTAAGAAGGCTTTTCAAGCTGGCATAGCCAGCAGCGTCTAGCGAAATGCCATACTTCGCTGGGTCATGTCTGAGAGCCTGTGTGAGGAGCTTGCCTATCATCACTCGTCTCGTTTCGTGAGCGCCCCGTCCAGAAAGCCGATCAAGAGTACCATCCAGATCTGCTAAACTTGGTGTGTGCTGAGTTGTTGGCTGCCAGGCATGCTCTCTTCTGCTTCCCTCTGGCTGCTGTGGGACTTCCTGATGAAATGGAACCTGTGGATCTGTGCCTGCGGCAGCAGCGGCTGGTGACCAAACCCCCCAGGATTCATCACTATCATCTTCGGCCTGATGCAAGGAGGTCGGCAGAGCACTGTGATCAGAGTCCATTGCCTTGTTTACTCTCCAAGGAGGAACTGCGAGCTGCCGGGTGGAGTTATCATCATCGTGAGAGGCTGACTCCTTGGCAGATTGAGAGGAGGATCTTGGTGACAACAACAACAACAACAACAACAACAACAACAACAACAACAACAACAACAACAACCACAACCACAACCACAACAACCACAACAACAACAACAACAACAACAACAACAACAACAACAACAACAACAACAACAACAACAACAACACCGGCACCGGCACCGGCACCGGCACCGGCAGCGGCAGCGGCAGCGGCAACGGCAGCAAATGCAACTTCTAACACAGACAATGCATGCAGTGAAGCAGGGAAGGGCGCTTTGCACACCAGCTTGCACTGTAGTCTGACCGGGTTTTGGGCTTCTTGAAAACTTTCTTGCACCGTTCCCCTCCCTTCCCCCTCCCCCTGCTCCCCGCCCCTCCCCCTCGCTGCCCCCTTCCTCTGGACAATGCACGTCAACCGGCTCTCACACTCCACAGGGTTTTTGAGCTTCGATCGAACACCGTTTGATTCCGCCTCTTTCTCGGGATGGCAAGTGTTTCGTAAATGTTCCTGAGCTATGCTGTGCTATTGCAGGCCTAAGCTTGGCCTTCTGTTTGGGCAAGTCAATGGAGGTCATGTCAACAAGACGCCCTCCTCTTCGTGTCAAGAGAAGCTCCTCCAAAGTCCTAACGTCGCAGGGTCATACCGAGGCCTCACTCCCGAGCAGACCCGGCTTGACTGACTGGTACCTGCCCGCCAACACCATCTTCGCGAGGTGGCTCTGGGGCTGGAAGCAAAGCTGCACTCGCAATGTCTCGTAGCCCTTCATCCCGTTGGTACTTCATTGCCTCGAAAGATGTGCTCGCAAGACTTTATGCTCTGCATGCTCTGCACCAGGCTTCGTGATTCCCACGTGGACTGGCGAAATGGTGCCACCAAGGACGGCACGGCGCTTGAGTTTAAAGCGCGACCATCTTGCGATCTTGGGGCAGGTTGACTCCTTGCTCAACCAGTTCATCTTTATGTTGCAAGATGATCGCTCCCAGAAGGCCGTGCGCCTCCAGGCACTCCACCGGAGAGGGATTCGGATACATGCGGACGCATGCGGACACATGCGGAGACGTGCGGACACATGCGGACATGTTCAAAGAATCGAATATTGGGTTCATTGCGTGGGTGCATTAGATTTTAGACTGCTTCGCTTTCAGGTAGCGGCCAAAGATGCAGTAGTGGTCAACGGCTTCGCAGCAGCCAGGCTCGCGCTACTGTGTTTGCAGTTGCTTGAAGTGGGATGTTTCCAAAGGTGCCAATGTTGCAGTGGCTTCAGTGCTGTCGTTCCCAGGTTTACATCTGAAGGCAACGAGCTTGTTACCATTGGTGGGCTGGAACCCATGAGGTGCTCATGCTGGCATCTGGTCACACGTTGCCGCTGAAGCTGTGCATCTTTGGAGGTGGTTCCAGCTACATGTGCTTGAAAACCCGGCTTTCAACTATGGCTTCAAGAGCCTTGGCAACAGCCTCGGTGTGTCACTTCCTTGCTCATGCGACAGCCGGACAATCCAAATTGGGCTGAATGAAGCTGGGACACACACAACACCATGGACTACAGAGAGAGGAGCATAACATAAGATCGAAAAGGGTGTGTTCAAGAGGAGCAGGAATAGCGCCTCATGGTGCTTTCCTGAGCATGTGCAAGACAACAGAATGGCATAAAGAACGCACTATCCCGGATTACACAAAGCATTACATAGTGATTCCAAAAGACCGGCGTTCATGTAGATTTCGCCGCCCGGCATAGCTCTACGTTGTGGCTAGTGACCAATTTATGCGTCCCACGCAGTCTGAAACCCTACAGCAAAAGTGGTGTTGTCCCAAACGCGCGCGCACACATATCTGACAAAGCGATGCGGCTGGGACCCGACTTTATTTTGTCAGGCCCTCGCGCAAATCAGTTCTTGAAGCTGGCACGCATAGGTCTTGCATGGCCTGATCCTCAGGTCGTTCCTGATGCGGATACATGCACGTTCTGTGAGACTTGGTAGCTCGAGCAAATTGGGAAGGTTGGCCAGCAACATCGGTGATGTGTCTTCGATGAAGCAGTCGGTGAACGCGACTGCCACAGATGACTTGGTCATGCTTGACCATGCGCAGAAACACTCTGCACGTGCTATGCATCATGCTTTCCGTGGGCCCTAGATTTGGACCTCTGGCAAGCTTTAGGTGACGTTCGTGGATGGTTCAGCCCATGCCCAAGCTTGGGGTAATCTGCGCATCGGTGGAGTTAAAGTGCCTCGAATCCAGCTGGAATTCTTCGAAAATCGCCAATAGCTTGCCATTTGTCAGACTTCGACCTGGAGTTGGACCTGGCTGCTGCTGACGAGGAATTTGGCATCGCCTTGTCCTCTGACTTCCTTTGCCTGTTCTCTGCAAGTCTCCAAGTGACCGTTGCATACTCGCATGACTTTGCATCACTTTGCATGAGGGCGGCCGCCTGGGTGCCTACACTTAAACCAAGCTTCTCCTGGTAGCAGTAGTTGTTTTTTGCGCGAAGCTCGCCGAGCTCGTTAAGAAAACCTGGAAGGGGAGCTGCGAGCACCCAACATGATGTTAGGAAGCAAGGGTGAACAGCACCGTGCAACTCTGCACTACTACGCACGCAAAAGACGACCACCGGCTTGGAGGCGTGAAGCCAAACATTTGTGGCTTTGATACATGTTCTGCTGCTACTGCAGCAGCCACTGTACTTGCTTGCACTGCGCATTCGCAGGCATGTTGATCGTATTGGGGTCGCTGAAAGCATGCTCATCATAAGAGGCTTTCTCTGCAGACGAGGTGCAAGCTCTTCGATGCCGAGTGTGCGATGGATTTCTTCAAGGCGCACTTTGCTTTGTCATTGTGTTGCAAGTGCACTTCATTAGCGGACTTTGGCTGCTTGAAGTGCTCGTTGTGAATGGGACCACGGAGTGATCAGGAATCATATCCGCACGATTGCTGTAGACCAACTGGGGCTTGTACAATGATTCCATATGATTCCGGAACGTCGCCAATCGTTTTGTGGAAACCTCGGAAGCCACATGCCACATGCTGCCACAAGTTGCTTCAAGCTGCAGGCGCACTTGACTGAATCGAGCGACTTGTTCGAGCACGCGGCAGAGGCGCTCACTGAAAGCATGGCCGAGAGCATATGACCGTTTCCGCCCGGGATTGCGATGGACAATATGTGGTGGGGATTGGTGGGGTTAGGTGATCGTGATTTCAACATCACAAGTCAAGATAAATGGCAAGTCACCGAGCCCAGGTGGCACCGCACCAGCGAAACAGAAGACGCAAACAGGGCCGATCAAAGCATCTCGACAGCGGAATGGCAACACAACAATGCAGACCCACAGCCACAACGTAGCAACATCGGCAACCTAAGCTGCAAAAATGTGAACAATTGCCGCAACTGTTCTGGTGTAGTTTTCCGGGCACAGACAGGGACCAAGCGCTATTTCTAAACGTGACATAAAGTGACGGTACTTCAAAAGGCGTGTGAAGGATATTTGTCGAGAGTCGCTGGATGTTGGGCAGGAGGACGCGGGATGGGCACAGTCGGCACAAGTCGGCACAGTGCCGTGAAGCTGCCATGAATCTTGACACTTGATTTGCAGTGGGAACATTTGGATCGTGGATTTCCTGTATATCATCCGCTCCGCGGCCTAAGAGCCTAGATCGTGGCGAGGAATTGAATACGCCAGAACTCGGCAACAACAGCAGCAACGTGTCAGGCTCACTCACACTTAGTTTGCGGACGAATTCTGAAAGATCAATTCAAACCTCGGCGGCAATGCCCCGGAGCTCCGGGGGGCCTTGCAAGCGAGAATGGCCAGCTCGCTTGGGATCCCTTGCTTTGCGACCGCCTGCAAAGCACACGTGTGCCAATCATGCCAGTGCTGCTTGCACATGAGGCAACGCATATTTTCGCACATTCACAGAAGTGTGCTGCAGGCAGCTATGCAGCTGCCGGGAACCTTGCAGTGCAACATTTGCCCATGACATGTGAGTAACATGTTGTGTTGCATGCAGCCGCAGTTGATGTAGTGTGCCCCTTTTGAGGTCGTCGAGAGATGTGGACATGCACCAGTCCAAGAACGCGAAACTGACATGTGAAATGATGTGAAGCTGTGAGACATCAATCGGCGTTCTCGCATGATGCACGGCAGGTTGCCAAAGACTTGGCAGATGCTGATATGGTCGAATTTCTCAGAAAGGACGCTGCGCTTGCGGTCTCAAAACTGTAAGCCCCGAAAACCGCAAACTAAAGCTGTAGACCCGCCAAACCCCTCCCTGGAACCCAGCGCGCCTTAGACACCTAAGCCCTACAAAATCTTTAGAGACTTCGTCACGTTTGGTCAAGAGCCCATGGGAAGCCTCGCAACGTCCGATCAACCTACACGCGACCTCCGGTACAGCCCCAAACGGAAATCGCACGTAACTGTATCCTGTTCAAATCCTTTGAAAGGCAAGGGGGACAATGCAGACTTCGTCCAGCACATGAAGAAAGACCCAGAAGAAGTTCTGTTTCAATGCAGGTGTCTCCATTGCAAGTTGTCCCAACTTCAGGACGCTGGCCTGCGCTCACTGTTGCGGATCCATGAAGAGAACATCCCTGGTACTGAGGCCTGGGCTTGCGTGGTGGAATTCGGAGTGAACTTTGAAACGGCCCGGTGCAATCAGCTCCCTTGCCCTCTAAGCTTAGTGGAGTCAGGTTCTCCTTTTCCCACTGTGAACTCCAACTTCACACATCTGCAGTAAGAAGTACAGCATCACAACCATCGCTGCTGATTGGCACGTGGCAGGCACATCGGCGAGCCCTTTCCCATCTGGGCTTCAGGCTGCGGATAGTGCATTTCCGTGCATTTGCGGTAACTTTACTTCCAAACTGCTTGGCTAACTCAGGGAGCGTGCTGGTCAGCCAGTTGCCTTGTTGGCACGGCACCGAGTTCTGCTGTTGACAATGCGTCGATGATGTTGCCTTTTTCGGGAAATGCCACTCTAAGGCTTTGCCTCCGCGGCGCTGGTTTTTGAACCCCGCTGCAAGCCCCCTTGGGGCCTCCTATGGCTACTTTGAGTTTCAACAAGATGAAGGAGGCCAAGTCTTCGCTGTGATGAAGCTTAGCCGGCTTTATGTCAGCTCCACTGGGTCCGTCGGCTACGACGCCAAGACGGAGTTTGTTAGCTTCTGGAAGGAGCTCGTGTATAGTGCACGCGAAAGGCATGTGAGCCGTTTGCTGATTGATGTCTCCGGAAATGCCGGTGGTTACGTGGATCTGGCGTATTTACTCGTAAGGGCTCTCTATCCTACTTTGGAGTTCGCTCAGTTGTGCAACTCGTATGATAGGCCTGTTGGGTCGCTTTATGAGGCTTGGCAGAAAGTCAATAACACCCCTCTGGCGTCCTTTCTGGACAACGACGTGGCCATCCAGAAGCGATTGAAGGAGATGACGCCAGCTGAGCAGACCTCGATGAAGACTGTTCTGCAAAAGATCACAAAGGCTTGTATGGAGATGGATGTCTTGGACATGGATGATGTGATGCAAATCCAGTCTGCCATCGATTCCTTGGACACGGGAGAATTGGACGAAGAGAGCTTGCAAGGGACGCTCGAGGTCCTCAGCTCGTCGGCCGAGAGTTTTGGGAATCCGTTTTCGTTGTACCTCTATGGTTACGCTGTCAACGGCACTCCTTTCGATCCCTTCAAGTCCTTGCGCTCGGTTCAGCGGGGTGGCAAGCCTGATGTCAAGCTGACCGAGTTCTTTCGCATTGAGGATTGTGTTATGGCATATACGCAGCAGTTTGTTGATGCATTCGAAGGGGTTCAACATCCGTTCACCAATGTGCTCTTCGTTTCTGATGGGCTTTGTGGATCATCGTGCGACACCTTCTCCCGCACTGCATATATGATCTCAAAACAGAAGGAGCACCGGCACGAAGCCACCATGCAGATCAATTTCGTAACGTTTGGGGGATTGGGTGAGTCTTTGGATAATGCCCGCCGCACGCTGTCAGCGACGTCCTTTCCGGGTGGCAATTTAATGACGTCCGCCATGGCACAAGTCTACAATCCCATCTATTCCGCTGCTGCTTTAGGGTACCTTGCTGCCGAATGGGCGGGCTTGGGTACGATGAAGAGCCAGCTCGCCCACTTTCGCACCTTCGTGCCTCAATACCCATTTTATTGGAACAATTTGCCGCAATACCCTCAGAGTGAGATGTACCAAAATTCACTGGGTGACCAGGCCTTGCCCGCCGAGTTCTATTTCTTTCCAACCGATATTTACCTGCCGGAGTGGTATGCAAATGTAGTGGGTGAGCCACATGAGTGGAACGAGACTGAGCTGAGACGTCTCCATCTGGACGCAGCTAAAGCATTTCAAGCTGTGGCGGAAGTGAGGCCCGCAGCTTCAGCAACTCCTCGAGATCTGGTGGGAGAGCGGCTATCATTTCTGGCGGCGACGACACGAACGGATGTTTCCTGGCCGGTGTGGCTGGTTTGTGTTGGGGCCCTGGCATCAGGGGGCTTTCTCCTGGCGGTGCTGAGCTCGAGGAATTTGGCACGGGAACTGTCTGATGACCTGAATGAGCACATGGTCCCTGTTGAAGATTCTGAGTAAGCTCGCAGTCTTCTTGTCGTTGCAGGAGGCAGTGCAAAGATCACTGCTTGAGGTGGATAGGAGGAGGGCGTCCTTGCTTTCCTTCCATGGCACTGGAATTGTTCTAGTGTGACACCACTTCTGTGCATCCAAGCAACAATCCTAAGTCCCAAGACATGCATCCGATACATCACGTCCACGCCAACCACCCATATACAGTATGACTCTAGCTTCCAACATCAATGCAGAAGTTGTTGGCATCTGCCACGTTGTGCTGGGTACAACCTTTTGCGAGACCAAACCAGAAGGCCAGAAAGCGTATGTCAGATAGAGGATGATAGAGGTGATTCTCACAGTGATTCTTTCCAATCTCGTCCTCGAAGTTCGCAGGCTCGTCCTAGACGAGGCTTTGCGGTCAGATCGATGTGGTGTGTAGGTCGGTTCTGTTTCACTCGGCTAGTCAATCATTAGGGCAGCCCCGTGGCTGGACCACAGAGGTTGTACATCGGTTGTACATCGAAAAGCCTGCTTGGAAGCTCACACTTCACGCGTTGAATCACGCTTCGTCTCAGGGTGAATTGGCGCATGGCGCAGCTCCTCTTGGACGATGTTGCGCTTCATGACATTTCATGACGTCATGATGGTGCGGTGCAGGTCCAGAAGGTCAAGGCGCATCAGGAAGACATGCTCACGACTGAGACGCCAGCACACGGTAGTGTATATGCAGGTGCGTGCCCGCCACAAAGCAACTGCCACGTAAGTACGACATGGAAGTATCGCTAAGGTTGAGGGAAGTCCATGATCTCAGCCGGACCACTTCCATGCTCGCCAAGCATGTCAGGAGCTCAGGAGCTCACATCGACAGATTTCGACAGTCTCGAGCCGGCATCGTGTGACCCCACTCTTGTCAAGGAGATCCCCGAAAACGAGACCGACAAGCTGCGAGCTGAACTGTCGGCGGTTGAAGAGGCCGAGCCACACATCATTCGGTACGGTACACACGGTACTGTGTGGCCAAGCTACAAGTGTGGGATCATGAGAGGCGCGGAGGAAGGCAAGAAATTTCGGGGAGGATTTGCTGGAGGATCACTGTTGTACTTCTCTCGCAGCTTGACTGAGACTGCTGTTCGCCCAACGGCACTTGCGAGGACATGATGACGCTGGATAATCTGTCTGGATTGTCTCCGGAAGATAGGAACATGCGCAAGGTTGGCGATGCTTGTCGCAGTTTGAGTGGAACTCGAAACTTGCTGAAAGACTGGGAGGCGACCCTTTCGGGCCTCGAGAGCTTGCTTCAGGACCTGGTGCATGTCGAGACACAGCCATGAGTAGCGCTGGGCATGTGCGAGAGCAACTTTCCTGACAGAACGTCGACACGGCAAAATCTCGTCTGGCCATGCTGCACAGAAAGTTGGAGGCAAGGGCAGACTCTCAGCGGTTACTAGCATTTATAAGCCCACTAGTGGCCAGTAGGGCCGTCACTGGCATCACCCGTGGCCTCGGCAGGGCAATTTGAATCAACTCGAGGCAAAGGAAAAGGACTCCGCAGGGCAGTCTCGATGCACTTACTTCACTGTCTTCACTGTCTTCACTGTCCTCACCAACGCAACTCAGCGCCAGGAGAAAGCCAAGGAGCGAGAGCAGGTGAAGAAGGCTTTCGTAGTTCAGTAGCCAAGCCCTAAGCCAAGCAAGACCTCCTGTAGGCTGCAGAAGAATCGGGAGCAGCAGCTGCTATGTCTGCTTTGGAGCCGCCTCCGCCTGGCAAAGATGTCTGGCAGCAGGCACCCATGTATTTGAGATGTATTTGAGAAGTATATGGCTTTCCATCATCTTTGGGCTTTGGCTTTTCTTTGAGGTTCGTCTACCGTTGCGCTTCCACGCTCGTGAGGTCGGGTGTTGACTCCTTTTGCAATGAGCTTTGTAAAGAGTATTCGGCAGAGGAAACCATGGATGCTGGAATGAGGGTCGTGAGCATGACAACTTGAGAGCCAGAAGGTTTAGTCATGTCCATTACTTTGCCATGTCATGTCGGAAGTTGTGTCCCGACCTCCGAATCTTCCTGGCTGTTCCTGACTGCACGATCTGGAGTTCTTGTCCAGGAAAGCAATCAATACGTCCTCTCTGCCACTGTTCCAGGCATCCCTTCAGTCAAATTCTAACTGTCGTAGACTCTTAGAGTATCTTAGAGTCTTGGAGCCTTCATGGACTTGATTTGGGAAGGCTTGAACCCAGACGATGTCAAGGCGAGCTGCAATATTGCGGGTTCTGCTGATTTTGCAGTGACACTTCGTCGGCTGTTCGGTTGAGTAGTGCTGGCTAAGTCATTGCTGGCTAAGTCAGGGCGGGTCGTTCATTCCGCTTAAATGGATTGTCAATTGACCGGGGACTAAATGATGTAAAAGGATGTGGACCTTTCAGGGAGCCTGCCTCCGTAAAATGCGGTGTGCCTGGGCAAAAGCACCGCCAGTATGTGCAGCTCGAAGCATCCGATTTCGGTTACACAGAGGACTCCAACTCGCTTAAGCTGGCTTGACACCGCAGTATGACAGATGTTGCTCCCAGTTACCTTGTGAGAACAAGACACGTCGCGTCATGCCGGCCGACACAAGCCTGCGAAGCTTCCTTTGCAGATGTGCACAGAGAACTTCCGGGAGAGCAGCAGTTGAACTAGTGTTTGCCTGAGTTCTGCTGCATTCTTCCAGCAGCTACAGCTCACACGCGTCACATGTACGTGTCAGGGTTTCGACCTTGTTTCAGGCTTCGTCCTCGTTTTGTGAGAACCGTCTATCCTAAAATGAAATCGGTTGTCGAGCTACTTGTGCTTTTAACTTCAAAATGTATGTAAGGCATCCGTGAAGCCTATGAACACGTAGAACATGCAACAGATGCACGCAGACACGGAGCACCTTGAGTTAAAGAGACACTGTGTTTTTTTTCTACATCGTGTTTATTTTAGACCGCTGGCCAGCTCGAGCTCAACGACGACTCCACGATGCTCAAAGTTGAGGGCTTGCGGCTGCCGAACGGCCCTCAGACTGGGGTCTCACTGTTCTGACTCTTTGATTTTGCATTTTTTGCCTAGGACAGAGCTGGAAGCGGGCCGAATGCGAAAGAGGCCTCGGCTGTACCGGCTGCACCTGAGTTAGGGCCTTGACCCAGCTGCTGGGGGAGCGAGCTTTCGCTTTGTTGAAGTGACAAATGCTCAGCGTGGTTGGTGGGAATGTGTGTGTGTACCTCTGTGGCCATTTTGGCATCAAGGATCACACCCGAAGTTTTACTAGGGTGGTCCAGCAACAGGTGGGTGCGGCGTGTAGGGACCCGGTGGTCGTTCCTGGACAACTCGAGTTGGATTCCTCTTTTGAGGGCCTCCTTGAGGTGTTCTGGGAGCCCCGGACCCTGGACGTTGCACTCTTAGCTGTGGGCTCTTACTTGTGGGCCTTGAGCATCTGCTGTGGTCGGCGATCCGTCAGGGCAGCCCCAGAGCAGGCTCAGCAACCCCACTTGGAAAGGCGCCCTACGAAGAACCCCGTCCTTGAGAGTGATGGACCCCACGGTTGAAGAGCTACAGGCCATCACGAACCTGGCGGGTGTCTACGCGTGGGCTGGAGTTACGGGCGGTCTAGAGGCCTCCTTAAAAGATGCCCTTGGAGACCCAGTTAGGGTGAGAGAGGTGGCCTTGATCCCGAGACCTGCCTGGGATACGGCGGTCACAGGATTGAAGGTCAGGGGCACACCTGCTGCAGATGGCACGCCTGGCCCTCTTCGCGACCTCACCTTGGTGGAAGCAGCAAGGGTTGAGTCCACGCGTCGGGTGGCCCTTCTCCTCATGGGGCAGCAGCCCGACTCACCAGGAACTGCTGGGCCACCTGTGGTTGTCCCGGCCCCGGGCCCTGGGACAGCAACCACGGCAGCCCTAGTCGGAGCTAGGAAGCTCAAGCTCTCGGCAGTCCTGGACCCCACCCTGGACGCAGAGGTTTCCCCGTTGGCCAACACGGAGGTCCAGAAGCTGTACGCTGACTATAAGGTTAAGTATGGGGATTTTCCTTCGCCGGAGGCTGATCCCTCTGCCGACCAGCTTGCCTCCATCAAGCAGGTGGTGGCTTCGGGATCAGCCCCCTACGCGGACTTCAGCCTCTTCGGACCTCATGGACTGAGGCTGCTGAGGAAACAAACGTTCACATCGTACCAGCTAAATGCGGCGACGGGCGAGTGGACGAAGAGAGAGCAACCTGGCCCGGCGTCCTACCACAACTGGATGGAGGCTTGGAAGGTGCTCCGAACTTCGCTCCTCCTGCTCGAAGTTGCAGATGCTGAACGGTTGGACGCCTATGCCGAACACGTCCGCAGCTTCGTCACACAGTTCGGTGACAGTGCATGGTGGCTGGTGTATCGGGCTGAAAACAGGCTAAGGTGCGAGCATATGGAACGCCTCCGCCGCATCCTCCACGACAAGCCAGAGTACGGGTACACCCAGGCCAGGCCGTGGAATGCGGCGTTTGCTGCGGCTGTGAGGGACTCAGAGTTCTGGACACGTGAGCTGGTCACTCCTGCCACGCTTTGGCTTTCGCAACAGAGTTCAGGCCTGGGCTCAGGAGGGGGCGCTAAAAGGCCACAGCAGGACGGTGGTGACGACGGCCCTCTTCGCAAAAAGCAGAAGACCAAGAAGAAGAAGTACGAGGGGGAGGATCTCAGCGAGAAGAAGGGTAACGTCTATGTCCTCAACAGGCGTGGGGCCCGGATCTGCGACGGGTACAACCGGGGCAGGTGTGGCAACAAGAAGCCTCAGGGTGTCTGCGACAAGTGCAGTCACCAGTGCAACCTCTGCTTGGGGCCACACCAAGCTCTGGAGCGCCCAAAAGCCTGAACCGGGGACCCGCCTCACACTGAGTTGGCCATGGGCGCCGCAACAAAGGCGAGCGTAGCTGCTAAGCCAATCGTGGACCCCAACCAGGAGCTCATCGACAGGACTGCTCAGGCAAAGGCGCTGCCGGCCTCCCGTCCCGAAGTCCCTGCTGAGGTCAAGCCACCAACTCCGCCCCGGCCGAAGAAGAGGAAGCAAGTGCTGCCAGAGCCGACCACATCCACCTCTTCGCCAAAGCCCGGGCCCAAGCCGACGGTTCCTGGACCAGCTGGTCCGGCCGAGGCTGCCAGGTTCTGACCGAAAGGACCCACGACGTCCTCACAGCCGCTTGGGATCAACACCGCACCTGGGGACTTGAGAACCCTGCGGCCGACGGTGACAACCCGTCCTTGTGGGAAGCCCCGTTGATAAGGCGGCTGGCTCAGCTCGACAGAGTGGTCACGGTAAACTTCGATCGCTGTCGACTGGGCCACGCTACTCGGGGGCCAACTCAACTTCTGGTCGCGGACCACGTGAACTTTCTGGACCTCCATGGCTTGACTTGCAACCATTCAGTCAACGCCCACAAGGAGAAAGCGTCCCCAACCAAGCAGCGAGGTGAGTACACACCTCACCTCTCACAGGTCGTGGCCAATGCGCTTTACCAAGGATACCGGCTCCAATCCCTGGAAAAGGAAGATCTGTGAGGATGGGACCCGGCTGCTGAGTTCGCGGCCCTTCCCGCCTGCGATGAAAGTAGCAGGCGGGAGGCTGAGAACAAGCGAGCCTTGGGGGGCATGAGGAATCCTCGCCTCTCATTGCGAAGGCTCCCGAAGTCCAGGCGACTTGGGAGGGTTGTGCATAAAATCCTCCTACAAAGCCTTCAGCAATGGCCAGAGCTTGTGGAGCCAGCCCGAGCCATCCTACAAGGAAGGGAGCCCAAGGACTACCCTGTCGATCTCCTCGAAAAGACAAGGTCGGCCGTCCTTACAGCGCTCGGGGCCACAGACAGTGTCAGGCATCGAACCCGCACGGCGCCTGCCAACACACCCATTCAGGCCTCAGTCATAGAAGCCTGGGGCCACGCAAGCGACGACCCAGACTCCACTACGCTCGCAAGCTGGCTTGACCATGGTGCTCCGCTGGGGATCAGCGAACCCATTGGCACTACCGGGGTTTTCCCGGCAACCGAGGCCAAAGGTCTGGTTCCGCATAGTCAAGTGGATCGTCGGGCCCTGGAAGGATGGAGCAACTACGCCTCGGCCGAGGAGGAGGCGGAAGTGCTTGACGAACTCATCAGGACTATGTCGCCAGGGGCTTCTGCCATCGAGTGAGCTCGTATAAGGCCGCTTCCAAGCAGTTGGGTGACGAACCTGTCCTTAACAAGCTTGGCGTCCTCGTCAAGAACAAGCGGGACGCGCAAGGCCGGGAAGTGAAGAAGGCCAGGGTGATATGGGACTTGAAGGAGTCAAGCGTCAACAAGGCCTGCAACCAGGGGGAGCGGATCATCTTACCACGTCTACTCGACGTCGTGGCCTCGCTTCTGGCAGCTTACAAGCGCGGCCGCAGTCCCTACCTGGCCGGCGTCGACGTACGGGACGCCTTCATGAACATACCAGCAGGCAAGGACAGGAAGTTCACCGTGGCAGCGGTGCCGAGAAGGCGAAACAAGAGAGCCGGCCACGACCTCGTCGTCTTCAACACCCTCGTCTTCGGCTCAGCTTCCTCGCCAACATTATGGGGCCGGATGGCAGCTTGGCTTGGTCGCACCACAGCCGCTGTGTCCTTGGCCGATCCCCAGATCTATGTAGACGACCCGGTGTATACCTTGGAGGGCCCCGACCTCGTGACCGCCGCCACGGACTTGGCCGTAGTTCTCCTATGGACCGCCGTCGCTGGCTTCCCCGTCAAGCTCTCAAAAGCCACCGGGGGCAAGCGCATCGAGTGGGTCGGCGCAAGCATATTGTGCAGGGACGAGGAGAAGGCCGTCGTGGTGACCATACCCAAGGCCAAGGTCGCGCAACTCCTGGCGGAGACCGAGAAGCACTTAGGTAGGGCCGTGATTGGAGCTAAGGAACTTCGATCATATGCCGGGGCACTCTCATTTGTGGCTGGTCTGGTGCCACACCTTCGGCCGTTCCTGGCGACGTTCTGGGCAGCCCTTTCGAAGCATGATATCACGAGTGATGGTTCACCTTACACTCGAACCAGAAAGTTGATTCATGTTAGAAGGGTCAGCCCGGCACTTCGTTGGGTAAAGGCGTTGCTGTCTGGCACCGAGACACTCGAGAGGATCTTCTACGCCAACCCGCCGGCCACTGACTTGGAGCTGGTGACAGATGCCTCGCCATGGGGCATCGGTGGAGTGTGCCGACGAAATGGAGAGCCGCTGGCATACTTCCACAGCCATCTCCCGGACGACATCCTCGCCAAATTTTCAGCGGAAAGGGGGGTGTCAAGCTACAACGCCCTATGGGAAGGCCTCGCCCTTTTGGTAGCTTTCAGACTGTGGTTACCGGCACTCACCCACGGCTCGGTGTTTCGGGCGAAGTCGGACAACCTAGGCTTCCTGATGGCGTTGTCCAAGGGAAGCGCTAAGTCACCGGCCCTGAACGTGCTGGCGCGGGAGTTTGCTTTTGACCAGGCCACCCGATGCTACCAAATAAGGGGGCTGGTCCACATCGCGGGTGTGTCCAATGTACAGGCGGACGCACTCTCGAGGTTGAGCGCTCCGGAACGAAAGCCATTCCCGTCGGAGCTGCTAGCCACCCCTCGCTGTGAGGCGAAGCTGGGCGCCGACTTCTGGAAGGTGGTCTGAAAAGACACGCTCCCATTAGTTTGTGCGCACATGCGCCGTTGCTGTCATGCGCACACTTCGCTCTTTCACTTCTCTCACTCTCTCACTCTCACTCGTCGAGCAGTTCTATGTACTTGCCATGTCTGCAGGCTCAAAGTTGCGATGCCCAGACCAAAGAGGAGGCTTGGGCAAGCGTTCTGGCCTAGTGCTAGTGGTAACCCCCCCGTGCCTCCGCCGAGCCCCAGGCGAGCCGGCGTCCTACACGAAGGTCCTGCTCTCGGGCGGCCTGTGGAAGATGTCAGGCAGCCGGACGGGTCAGGGGCAGGGAGCGTAGTCATAGAAGAAGAGAGAAAGAGACAACGGAATAGGCGGGGGGAACCGGTTCCATACTGTAGGGGTAGCTCTGCAAAGCTTTTTGAAGCGGCAAGCCACCCCGAGCAGTGTAAGGAACTTCTCCTAGCCGATTCCAGGTCGGTTACATCCGTAGGCCCGGTAGAGTCAAGGCTCAAACTTTGGTGCGATGTTTCAAAGCGAGCCAGACTCGAACCATTTCGGCTCACGCCTGATGGCATATATTCCGTTATGGGCGCCTTTAAAGCCGCCGGGTACCGGTCTGCAATGCAGTATCTGGATCTTGCGAAGCAGGAACACATCCATCGGGGGCACGCCTGGAGCGAACAGCTGGCGCTCGCGTATCGAGTGTGTTCCCGTTCGTGCAAGCGCGCCCTGGGGCCGTCCAAACAGGCCTCGGCGCTTCCAATGGACAAAGTCCCGACCGTTGCTTGGGACGAGGCTATGGTCACCAACGGTCCCCGCGACCCAGTGACAGCCACCATTGTAGCATCGTGGTGGCTCCTTCGCGAAATCGAGGCCTCACATGCCCGAATCCAGCATCTTACTTTCGACCATGAGTCCAAGACGGTAGCCTGGCTCTTGCCTTCGTCTAAAACAGACGTCGCGGCTTTGGGGGCGACTCGAAAGCACGCATGTTCCTGTGAAGTGCTGAGTCCCCAGCTCTGCCCTTACCATTCCGTTCTTCGTTTGATGGGCAGCCGCGGTCCCTTGGAGCCCGTTTTCGTTGACATCAACGGGGCGCCGCCCTCGAAGGCGGGCTGGGCTGACACCTTTCAGGCCATCGCGCGCGCTCTTGGCATCCCCGTTTGCTTGGCCAATGGCGCCCGAGCCTTCACCGGTCATTCGGCACGTGCCACGGGGGCACAGTACCTGGCCGCTCGAGGGGTCGAGCTTTGGAGAATCCAAATTTTCGGGCGGTGGGACTCAGATGTCATCCTCAGATACGTCAGAGAAGCTCCACTGTCGCAGCTGTCAGAGCTGGCAATCGAAGCGGGCCACAAGGACTCACTTGCCAGAGCACGTCGTGAGCTGGAGGCACTTCTCCGGAAGGCTAGACCTTCCTTAGCTATCCCGGATGCCGACTGGTGCGATGAGCTGATTGGAACAGAAGCGCCGCCGCCGCCATCTGTGCCCCATGACAGCTCCGAAAGGCTCATTTTGAATCTCTCACCTGGAGGAAAGATACATCGGTGCCGAACCGACCTCTCGGTTCCCAGTAATGCTTTGCACCCAAGGCACTGGAAGGCCTACTGTTCATGGCCTTTCGCCAGGGACCATACCCTTTTTCGCTGGGTTAGCAATGATTGCGAGGGCAGGAGGTGCCAGAGATGTTTTCCCTCGGCGCGTCGGACAAACTCGTCTGCGAGTTCCGCGTCGGGGTCTTCAGAGTCATCGTACTCGTCGTCCTCGGAGAGTTCCTGAGTTTGCGCCCTGACCGCCACAGCAGGATGGGAGTCGTCTCTGGTCAGTAGCCGCAAGGTCAGGTGGGTGTGATCCCGGCCCTCTTGAGTTTTCGGATCATCTCCGATCCGATTAGCAAGAAGAGCGACCTTACGACCAACTGATTGAAAACAAGAACAGAGAGCGACAGCACTGCTTGCTTTAATGGCGGTTGCTTGGGGAGCGGTAAAGCAATTGTCATGTCAAACATTGCTTGCTTTGTTGAAGTGACAAATGCTCAGCGTGGTTGGTGGGAATGTGTGTGTGTGTACCTCTGTGGCCATTTTGGCATCAAGGATCACACCCGAAGTTTTACCCACCCACCCGCTCCCTGGGTGTGATCCCGGCCCTCTTGAGTTTTCGGATCATCTCCGATCCGATTAGCAAGAAGAGCGACCTTACGACCAACTGATTGAAAACAAGAACAGAGAGCGACAGCACTGCTTGCTTTAATGGCGGTTGCTTGGGGAGCGGTAAAGCAATTGTCCCTTTGATTTGCTTTGGTGAAAGGGTTTGAGCCTTTTTCCGGATCCGGTGGTTCCGGCGACTGTTGAGTTTGCTTCGCCCCGGAAATGGGCAGGAAGGGGGGCCGGTGATAGGGCGGCGTCAGGATCCAACCAGGCCTGCTGGCCTTGGCAAAATTCATGTCCGATCAGTGGCAGAAACTTGCAGCAGGATCGCAAAGAAGATTCGTGAAACCGCAATGGCCTCAGCAGCCTCCACGTCCCGGTAGCTTAGAATGGCGAACATGCTGCACAATTGCTCAGGCTCTACGATCACCTGAGAAGTTTGAGATGCTGGCAAAACGCATTCCGGATGTGCGCGCCCAAGGCTCTTTCTTAGCCACCCCCAGTCCCACCCTGTGACACGTCTTCCCAACATGTTCAGAGTCATGGGACGATGTTGTCGATTGAGTGCGACTCTCTCTTGTCTACCTAACATGAACATCAGGTGGCTGCAGACGCATACATTGAGCTTGGTCAGGCCTTCGCAATCCTTCGCAGCTCTCAACAGATTTTATGGCAGACTTCTCCATGAGCCAGGCACAATATGGCCGTTTTGCTGAAGCCTTCCGTCTTCCTCATGATGTATTCGTCTCGGCATGCCCAGTGGCATGGTGTAGAATCAGGCAATGACTCTAGCTGACTCTAGCTGCAAGGTTGATGTGGAGAACATCGATGCATCGTCTGCCCAGCTCAGTTTCTGCGTCTTTGTGAGACATCACGACGTGCTGTTAGAACAATTGACTCTGTCTGAATGTTTTCTGAATGCATCTCCATGCGCTCACTTTACTTCGTGTGACATGCAGTACTCGTATTTCTGAATGCCCCGAGATGCCAGTGCTGACGTGTGATCCATCAAGCCATGTTGCATTATTATGACCAAGTGCGTGGGCTGACTTCAACGCGCAAGTAGTTGAGGGCGCGATGTGGGGCGCGTGCGTGCGCGAGGTTCCGCGCAAGGCACCCGACAGCTTCAGCTATTTTTAAGGTATTTGTGGAGCGCATGCAACATCCATGTAATGCTGCAACGCCAGTGCTGCCAGCGCATCTTCTGTGTACCCGAAGCGAGTTAGTTTTGTCCAGCTTCTTCAGGCAAACTGTGCTAAAACCTACGTCTGAAATCACAACATTGATGGTCTGATAGCTATGGGTGCGTTGTGTGTGCGCGTGTGCCTGCGTGCGTGCGTGCGTGCGTGCGTGCGTGCGTGCGTGCGTGCGTGCGTGCGTGCGTGGGTGCGTGGGTGGGTGGGTGGGTGGGTGGGTGGGTGGGTGTGGGTGGGTGTGGGTGTGTGTGTGTGTGTGTGTGTGTGTGTGTGTGTGTGTGGGTGTGTGTGTGTGTGTGCGTGCGATGTAGTTACTTTCTGAATACAACCGTCGGTGGCGGGCCAACAATGTCCAGACAGACATGCAGGTACACGGACGGCATCCTCCGTGTCGTGCTGCCCAAGCGCCCTCGACCAGCTGTGCCACGCGGGTGGGCACATAAGACGTGTGAACCTTTTGTTTCAATTCATGGCTGCCCGAAATCGAGCCGTGTACAGGATGGGCTATAGCTTGGGCAGCAGTGTGGGCCACAGACCAACATAGACTAGGTAGAGATATGTGGAGATGTTCTCGTGCAATGGGCATGCAAAGCAGCTTTGCTCAGGGCCGGGACGGCGCGATGTGCATCCTGGCTTAGGCATTCTCCTTACCTTGAGAGCCAAATCGCTGTGAAATATATTGATGTCTGATGACATGTTTGTGCCATTTTGTGCCGAAGGACCAGGTGTGGCTGGACGATGGGGAGATTCGCTCTTCGGCGGCCACGATGACTACTTCAGGTACCGTCCTTGGCTGTTCTGCACGCTGACATGCGTGTCTGCCGGTTGACGCCATGAGCAGCACTCGCTGAGGTGGTGAGGTGGTGACCTTGCCTTCCCTCGAAGCAATATGCGCCCTCTGTAATTCACAAGTGCGCTTTTTGCAAATCGACTTTCTGTCGGCTGCTTGTCAAGCGATGGGCCTGCAGATGCATCAAGGCTGTGAGGGTCAGCTTCTGACAGAAGTCCCGTTTGGCTTTGATTGTCAATGACAGGATGTGTGGTGCACCTCTGTACAGAACCACGTGCTCAGCTTCAAAGCCTGCTTAAACAGCTGAAGCCGAGCGAAGATTTGCAAGGCAACATATACCTTAATAACAATGTCCGTACATTGATTCAAAGAAAAGGGCCTGAGCTAGAGATCTGCCAGCCGTTGCAGGTTTGTAGACCACAAGCAATGCTTCAGCTTGGCCAGTCACGACTGTGTGATGATGGTTGAGAGTCGCCATTTGGCTGTCGCATCCAGACCCTGGGCTTCCAACATGTGCCCCAACAAGCTGTAAACTGAGGCTGATGCTCCGTGTTTCTGCATGGTTATGCAGTTTACCAGAAACCTCAGCCCCACCCAGCTTCACCAAGCCTGAGTAGATGAAGCTGCCTGCCTGGCATGGGAAACGTTATCCTCGGTGCCGGAGAAGAAGGACTCAAATTGCTGCCGATTGTGGTTAGTGAAGCTCGCCTCGAAAGAAGTTGTGCAAAGACTCCTGCTGTCTGTTTTGTTGCGAAGGTGGGAAAGGAGGCATTCTCGCTCAGGTGTCGGTGGTCGTGTATGTCATTGTGCGAGCACTTTTTGGCGGCTGCCATCCATTCTTACATCAGCTCCGGTACTTGGGCTGCAGGCAAGGCTATCCTTTTCCATCCAGACCAGTCAAGATCTGTTCATGTGAACATGCGCATTGTGCGTTCACGAGATGTCTCGTTGCGAGAGACTCTCAGGTCTGAGTGCGGCGAATTGATGGGATATCCGCCGTTGCCACCACTTGAACCCCTTGAGGCCCGCTCGTCCAGCTCCTTAGTACAAGTCCTTAGATCTGTGGGTACACGTTGCGTTCTGCGCCATTGCGCTTGGCACGGGGAGCAAACTAAAGTGAAGGCCCCCACCCGCCCTCCCCGCCGAACTGGCTTTGCCTTGGCTTGCTTTGGTTCGTTTAGTTTCGATCGTATCACGGGCAGGTTATCGTTATCCGTCAGCCGATGGCAGCAAATCATCGCAAGGTCTTTGTAAAAGGCACTGGCACCGTAAACGGCCAACCTCCACTTCGAAAAGTCGTGCGGCAGAAGTGCGGGCACGCCACCAGAGGCGTAGGCATAGGCACTACATGGCATAAAGCCATCAGCGCTCTACTTCGAGCATTGGCATACAATGTACCGACAGGGAGAGAGCTAAACGCAATGCACAGCAGCACGGTAGAAGACTATGTTGAAATATATAGAGGAGAAGGTGCTGGATCTGTCGGAGCAGTTGCAGCCAGAGTGAGTCAGGGAGCATTGTTCAAGTGTTGCTCTGCGAGCTGTGCTTAGATGCGTTAGGCGAGGGAACCGTCGATCACAGATTCGCCTTCCTTGGTTCAGGCGGGTTGCAACAGACATGCATCATGCAGCTGAAAAGACGCAACATCCAGTTTGTGAGTTCCGCTTGGCCGGGAAGTGTTCATATGTTTGGTTGAAGAACTGGAAAGGCAAAAGTGACCGTGCAGGGTTTTCCTGTGGTACACAGCGTTGCATCACTCTGTGGCCTGACAGGTCTTGCTAGAGCGCTTGCCACACCCACCCACTGCTCCTCTTGCACTGGGCGCATGGTTGGGAGGCCAAGCGCGACTCAGCTGAACAAAGCATTGGTAGGAGGTATGGAGATGTGGACAGATGTGGACAGATGTGGACAGGGTACCTGACTTTGAACGTGTTGGAGAGCCCTGAGGGCGAGCGAAATCCCAGCGCCGTCGACTGCAGAACCGGCGGCTGCTGCGGGAATTCCGACTTGTGTCTCGGATTTTTGGTGCCCCTTTCCATGGCGGTATTTGTGCATCAGTTCACTTCGCTTCGTTCCGCTTTCTTTGAAAATCATCTCGAATCATCTCTGAAGGTCCCGTGTGTATGCTGAATTGGCCGAATGCAGCTCTGGACTGTGGGCAGCTGGTCTGCACTAGTCTGACCCAGTCTGCACTATTCGGACAAGTCTCCTATTTGATTTTATAGGGCTGGGAGTGGGAATGAGGATGGCAGTACAGCTGTAGTGCCATACCTCATGCGAAGTTCTTTGTGTCAACGGTCAAATTTATCTGGATTTATTACGTGGAGAACACGACGCGACGTCAGTCAGCATTGGAGTAACCAAAGCGACAGGCGCGTGCCTGTGCAGATAGATTTCACTCGTGGCGGAATTCCGGAGTTCCCCGCAATCTTGTAGCAATCTTGTTGCGGCCGCAGCTGGCCTCTTCCGAGAAATCCTGCGAGAAGCAGCCCCAACGCCAAAGGCCTTGTAGCATCATATGCATCGTGTGCATCGTGTGCATCATGCAGCACCATGCAGCATCATGTAGCATACCAAGTCATTGACCGTGACGGGGGGGGGGGTTGGCAAGTGATGTGCGCATTCGATGTCGATGTGAGCAGGACTTCTTTTAAAGATGAACCTCCCCATGTTTCAAGGGGGTAGCCTTTCGCACCAAGAGTTTTCGGTCCAGTTCCTGGACTACCTCCTTTGAGATTTGGCAAGGTTTCATGAATAGCCAGACAACAAATCTTTAGCTAGGGACATCTGGAAATGCAATGGTTGGCTTGGGGGCAAACTTCAGCATCGCATGCGCTGCTGCCAACTTTTTCTGAGTCTGATCTCCACCAGAAGGTCGGGTAGAGGGCATGCTCTTGATCCGCTATATGTATACGCAGCACGCACATGAATCGCAAGCGAAACATGTGCCAAAGACAGTGCATGTCTGATGAGGTGTTTCATGTCTTTAACCAGCTCTCATCAGAGCAGAACCATGGACGAGCTTCGCGTTTATTGCGATGAGGCATCGAGTTTGTGCAGCGTGCCTGCCGGAAATCCAGAGAAGATCCAATTGCTGTCCAGTGTGTGCCGACCTGAGCAGCCCTTTGCAGCATGCCGCAATTTGACTCCGGTTTGCATGGCGCTTGCGGATCCTGATGTCCAAGGCCGGGATCCCATTCGCCAAGTCATGAGACTTTACAACTGAAGGAATAGCGGAACGGCAAAGCTCCGCGTGTTACACACAGAGCTCCGCCTGTTCTTACAGAAATACAGCATCTTACGGCTCTGTTTAGTCACTAAACACCTTAGCAGCTGAGCAAGGCAGAGTCTGGCAGAGTCTGGCAGAGAGAAGTGCGGTCAGCGATCAGCCCCTTTCTGCTTTAGAAGCAGCGTAGTGCAGCGTCCTCAGACCCGCAAGGGGCCCAGGATTCGTCCGCACAAGCCCTAAAAGGGAGCACCACGATGCTGTGACATGTGAGCCAAAACGAGCTTGCGACGCCAAGATGCAGACGTGAAGAGCAGTCAGGCAGTTATACAGGACCTGCACGAAGTTTGAGCATCTCACTTCGGCTCAAGACTTGCTTTTGTGTGACATGAGTTGAATAATCATGCAAAATCCTCGGATTGGTACGTATTGGCATCATCTGAGGGCTTCATCAAAGTTCCAGATTCCGAATTGTGATATCCATGTGCGCACAGCGCACGTCACATGATGGACCCGGAACCAGCTGTGGTCCGAACCTCTTCTTTTTTGGCTTGCCTGGTGTAGGAAAGACTCATTGCGGGGAAGTCCTGCATCAACATTTTGGATACGATTTCCATGACGGTGATAGCTGGTTACCAGAGGATTTGAAAGAGTCCCTTGCAAGTGGGCATGGCTTTACAGATGAGCAGCGGGATCGATTTGCAGAAGAAATCTCACGCCGCATCTCCCAAGTCAAGGCCGAGGCTGCTAGGCCTGTCGCGATAGCACAGGCAACGTTCAAGCGGCGCCACAGAGATCTTTTGCGCCGAGCTCATCCAGACTTGGTTTTTGTGTGGGTTCAGGCGGGTGAGACCTCACGTGTGCGCCGACTACGAGAAAGGGATAATGTTGTCGATGTAGCCCTGGGTAGCCGCATGGCTCGTGACTTCGAGCCACCAGTGGATGAGAAGCATGTTGTGCTTGTAAACGACTTGGACGATGAACCTGTGGAGGATGCGTTCCGAGACATGCTGCATCAAGCCATGATGACGAGAAAAATCGCAGTTGCCGGTTGACATTTTCCCGATTCCGACGGCCGACTGCATATGACCGCATGCTATGCAATGCTAGGAACTTTGCTTGGCCCCATTGAGGCTTCGCCAAGAGCATCTGAATCCTTGTAAAGGCATGTGCCACTACTTGTCACTGCCTCACAGGTGGGCTGTAGCCGTAGTTATTCGTGATGCCATCATACGCCATCGTACCAAGACCAAACAAGACCGCGACCTGGGATGCCGCTGAAAGGGATCTGAATTGCCGGAGCGGACTCAGCTTGCAACAGGACTGCATGCGCAGGATTGCGCATGGGGCTGGCTCAAGTGCCTCGGGCCGGCAACCAACGCGACAACAAGCTCAGTACATCTCAGTACAGTGGCCACCACGACAAACAGTCACCTCGATTCTCTGTTCAACATGGAAGCGCCCGAGTCACGTGCAAAAATGCCTGAAGGCTGTGCCAAGCTTAGAGAGTGCTGCAATCATTTGATGGCCATCGGGAAGCATGATTTTAATGGAGTTCGTGGAAGTTCACAGGTGCTACCTGGCAGCGAACTGCACTGATGATAGCTGCACGTCATGGCGCGTGCCTAAGAGCTAGGAGATCCAGGAGACGCCACCGATCCCCACATGCTCGTGTTCCACAACTTGCCAGTTTCGTGTAAAGTCTGAGCTTTTTCGGTCCTGAACGCATGAGGCCAGCATGACGTGGTGCTTCGTGCGCTCGAAACCTCTTGTTCCCAACCTCAGCTGGATGCTGCGGCCTGAGAGCGTCGGCAGAGCGTCGGGCAGCCGGTGTCTTGCGCCTCTTTGCCATGGGCTGTCACTATTTCTTTGCAATTATTGGCAACTGGCTCAAATCGGAGGTGGTTGATGAACACGGCAACACAGCCGTTATGATCGCTGCTCGGGAGGGGCACGACAAGGCTTTCTGAGTTCGTGTGGCTTTTGCACAAATTTGCCAAGCTAGTTTCTTTTGCCCAGGTAGTGGAAGCTCTTGTTGCAGCAGGGGCGGACCTTTCAATCAGAAATCTTGCTGGGCAGACGGCAGCTGATGTTGCCAGCACGGTAGCGCACCCAGACCAGGTGTCAAGTTTCATGCAGCTTCGATGTGAGTGATGTGAGTGTGGTCGAGGACGAGATTCGCGCTGTCATCGTGAAAGGTGAAGCCCAAGCAGAAGCGATACTGAGGCCTTCCTGAGGCCTTGGTGGGGTTAAGGGCAAATTCGACGATTGCAAGGTCAATCCTGGCAATGGATGGCAAAACTGAGCCGACAACATCGAGCACTTCGTCTTCTTCGGCTACAGGCTGCTTGGCCAACCTGGCCAACATGCACCAGTTTGCAAATGCAAGCTAAGTGAGAAGGCAAAAAGATACCTTTCCAAGATTCACCTGCGCAAATGGACGCCTTCAGGCTTCTTGTGAATCCAGAGTTTGAAGCTAGGGAAGCACAGCAGGACCACTGAATGCTAGCCTGAACCCAAGAACATGGATAGATTCAGGAACCAGCAAGGACATTCAGACATAATTAACGCGCAACGAAAAGCCCAGCAATCACGTGCAGATTATTCAGGAAGCGCGTCACGTCCGTCAATTCAGGAAACCGTGTCTAGACAAGGGTTGGTGCTTGAGGATTTGCGAGGCTTTAAGGCCTGAAGAAGGTCTTGGCTCTAGGGTTTAGGCATTGCAGTTTAGGATTCAGATTCCACGGTTTAGTGTTTAAGGTTTTGGGGCTTGGGGGGGCCAGAAGTTAAGCTTTCGAATTGAGGGTTTAGTGTTGAAGGGCTTAGGGTCAAAGGTCTGTTTTTTGTTTTAATTATTCCCCACCTCGGTGTGGGGTTGTTAGATTTTTTATTCAACTCTTCTCCTCGCCCGGTTTACTCCTCGCCTAACCCCAGGGTGCCCAACCCCAGAGTGTCCCTGGAGTGCCCAACCTCAGCCCGAGAGTGTTGCTGGAGTGCCCAACCTCAGAGTGTCCCTGGAGTACCCAACGCCAGAGTGTGCCTGGAGTGCCCAACCCCAGAGTGTCCCCAGAATGCCCAACTGCAGAGTATCTCGAGCCAGAGAGGGAGGGGATGTTCGAAGTGAGTCTTTTTTGGGCTCTGTGTTCCGAGTTCAGGCTTTCGGGTTTGGATGTGCCGGGCGACATCGTCATATGAAAATCAAACGGCAACATGAACACCGAAAGCGGAACACAACTTCTTGGTCGTGGCTCTGCGTGAAAGGTCTCGCGCAGCTACCCAAAGAGCTGGCCGCGCTTGCAGCAAGTGTGGATGTCAAGCTCTGTGCTGAGAGTCCCTTCTGAATGCCATGTTTCCCAAGCAGTGGAGCCTCTCTCTGAAACGCTCCGTCAAGAGACCTCTGAATGATGGCACACATGCCGATGGCGTCAACGAACTTGGAAAATGCGTGCGTTATGGATGATGGTCTTGTCTCCTTGAGTAACGAAAGAGACCCTTTGCACGGCGCTGTCTGCATGACATGATTGCTGGCAACGCCTGTCCATGATGGATCCCATCAGGTGTGGTTCGGCACACAAGGACCACCGTGCATACAATGGCATACAGTGCTAGCGGCTCGGCCCTTTGCATTCTACAGACGATACAACGTGCAGAGCAATTCGAGGCTACACATGCTTCGAGCTGAGAACTGAATCTTATAGAGCAGTGCTGAGCAGTGCTGAGCAGTGTGGTAGTTCCTCGCAGTGGCCATGGTGCCTACCACTTTCCTGCTGACATATGCTTGGCAAGGGCACGCTGCCATTCGTTTGGCCGAGTCGACCTTCCATTCTGTGCAAACCCTGCAGAGATTCTGCAAAGCTTTGCAGGTGTGAACCAGCTGACTTTGCTGTTGGCTCGTCTGGCACTCGCAGAGCTAGTGGTAGCTGCTGATCTCGGCATGTGAGTGAACTAAGACAACAGACAGCACCATTAAGGTATCTGCAGAAGGCGATCGGTTTCAGTGTCGGCTCTGTATCAAGATGAGCAAGGGCGATTGACAGTGTGGATGGTGTGGTGAGGATTCCGACTCGGCAGCGCGTCACCACGACCGGAGGTGCTCTTCGTCACTCGGGAGTGCGTTCACAGCGCACAGCACACACCAGGGCGTTGCACAATGTGCCAGGTCACAACGAGAGAAGACTGCGTGCTTTGGTCGTTCACCCCAGGACATGAGCTTAATTACTGTAAGCTTACACATGATATGCTTGCGATTGCTTCCGTACACGTGACCTGACAAATAGTGTTGCGATGAACATTTTGCTCGACAGCTTTGTGTAGTGCGGGCTGTTCTGCAGAGCCGCCATGACAGGCTACCGGGCGCGAAGGAAGCACTGCTGTCTTTTGATGCAGTGGAGGCGGAGCTGCAGTCGGCTTCGTCTTGTAGCGTGTGCGCAGCGAATTGCAGCGATATCAACTTGACCCAGTCCGCTCTGCCGCTCTGCTGAGGCTGTTGCCTTGGTGCGAGCTGCTGGATGGGAAAGTGTTATGCCCCACGGGTCCCACGCAGGTGCCACAAGTGTCATCATTGTCCTTCGATATCCTTCGATGTTTTGATGGTTCCAAGATTGACTCCGCGCGCAAGGTCAGGCTGCGAGCTCATCCAGCGAGGAGCTAGATTCTAGATGCTGTGTGCACATACGCTGCGACAGTTGATCGGTATTTGTTGTTGCCTTTTTCTTTTTCACGGGTGGTCGCAGCTCTCCTCATCGCATATCTTAGATGCACGAAAAGCATCGAAAAGCCATTCTAAACCCAAACATTCAGGCTCTCATTGGAGACATTGAAAACTTCGTAACATGCAGTTCTTTGGGAGATCTTGTGGCTTCTTGTTTGGCTCGGCCGCCTGGGCTTGTGCTCGTGCTGGCCGCTCTCATGGAGAAAAAGCTTGGGGAGTCAGAGGCCTGGGTGCGAACAACCAGGTTCGACAGGCTCGATGCACAATGTGCCGTCATGAGCCGTCATGTGCCGTCCGAAGGGTAGCAGGGTAGCTTGTTCAGTATGAGAGTTCAGGTCTTCGCGTGACATGCCCTGCGGCAGGAAGACTCGGAGTCGGCAAGTGATGGCACCGATGACGCGGATGATGCGGATGACGCGGATGACGCGGACGCTATAGGTGTGCCACTCCCAGGCTTGCAGGCTTTTTACAGTTTGCAGTGCCAAATGTTGCAATCTGGCGAGCGGGTGTGGGTATGCGAAGACAGCAACTGTGAGAACATGAGAACTTGCCAGAGAGAGTTGAGGCCTATGTCGTGTGAGCCTGAGTTGGCAACCCGCCACAGATGCTGCAACGGCTGCACATGTCCAATATGGCGCATATCAAGATGTATCTGGTTCAGCTGCACGCCTGCTTGCAGGAAGCTTCTTGTTCACACAGAGTGTAAAAAAGGAGTTCAAAGGCTCATGGTTCAGTTGGGAACTCTTGTGACATCTGCGCCGGTGTCTCCGAGGCCAGGCTGGACAGAGTTGATCCGCGCTTTTTCTTCCACCTGAAGGTCCCCGGGATGTTCTGTGGCTTTTGGAGGCTTTCAACTGGTTGCAGGAGAGGTTTGCGAGCGTGTGTGCTTGTGGAGCCCCTCCCAACAGCTCCATTCGGCTTGCTTATGGTTGCTTATTCCGATCTTCTGCTCCGATCACTCGCTGTGCTCGTCAAGAGGTTGCTCCCAACTGTGCCGGTGAATATTTCCGGCGAGTTCGTATACCAGATACCCTGAAAGCACATTGAAGTCAAAAAGCGAGCCGCGTTGCTGTTCTTTGCCCGTTTCTGTGGGACCCCTGGCTGAGCCATTACCATTTCCTTCGCAAATGCCCGCTTACAAAAGAATCGGAATGCCTGATCCCCGTCGTTCGAAAGGCTGACTTGAGACTGCAAGACTGCCGGAGTTTTCTCCCACCATCAGGAGCTTTGCCGCGTGGTGGTGCAGGTGGCGCGGCATGGAGCGGACATTCTGGTCGCCGGAAACTGAAACCTGAGTCATGGTGGTCCCTTGGCCCCCTTGGCGTCTCCGTCAGAGTTTGTTGACTGCAGCTCAGAAGGTCAACAGCTCTCTTTCGCCGATTCAGCAACGACACCTGGAGGTTTGCTTGTTCTCATGCAACGCAAGAGCAAGTCTACATACAACACATGGTGCTATTCTTTATTGGCTTCGCAGGCTGCCATGGATCTAGCCTGGCGCGCCCAACGACGGCAGCAGAAATATGACGTGGGTACGTCAGACATCAACCAGTCAAGGCAGGGCGGATTGCAAAGATGATAACCGAAACACACATCTTTTTGTCACCTGCTGTCAGAATCGCCGTCTTTGATCGTGCCCGTGTGGTCTTGGCGATCTTTGCGAGAAGAGCCTCCTCTACGGTGGCAAGGCAGGTGGACTGCGCGTCGCACGAAGCTTCTTCCTGCAGCAGCTGCACTCATCCAAGCTTGGTGCAGGTTGGGTATTGAGCTTGCAGAGGCCCAGGAGGCAGGGAACCGACTGTGGCTTTGCCTGTCTTTGACATTTGCGTCTGCCACCTTCGTGACCTTGGAGGTGAAAGCAAAGCTTGGAGTGCTGCCCTTTGATTGCGAGCGCCGCTCATACTCAATATTGCGGCCGCCTACGAGCTTTCAGGCGGGGATGGCGTCAGGAGTGACATCGCCCCTTCCTTAGTTGAACACTTGCAAGAACCCAGCAAGACGTTGCAAAACCGTACATGGAATAAGATGTAGGCAGCTACAACAAGTTGCCCGCGCACTGGGCAAACTTCCAGGCACAATACCATGCTGAACGTGTGTCAGATCTTCTGATCTTCCGTTCAGCCTTTGAGGATGTGACAAGACCGCGCTCTTACCACGAAGTGGGGGTGCACGTGGCGCGGCGACCCTGGCCTTCGCTGCCTTTGCTAAGCTGCTAAGCCGTTCAGCAATTTGCGTGTGCAGTCATGATGCAGTCATGTAACGCAAGCGATGCCCAGCAGTGAGTCGGACGATGACCTTCGCAACTTCACTATTCAATGCCCTGGATGGCCTTCAACTACTTCTTCAATCGTACCCAAGTTGTAAGCAACTATGAACTAAGGGCCTATTCCCATGCTGCTCCATACTATCACAGAATCATGACGAGCTTCTTCCACTGACCATGCCGAGGTCACGACATCGTTTACATCGTCCCCCCAGGCCAGGGCGCGAGAATCTCCTCAGCCGACAGCTTGACAGGACGTAGCAGCAGACAGATGCATACTGCAAATGCCGACAGTTGCCTCAGATGTTGCCACCGTTGACAGATGTTGTCAGTCGGTTGCCTTCAGAATATGTTTACGGCCTCAGATCACGCGGCAGAAGCAGCAGCGAGTCATTGATGAGAAGCGGGCACGGCTTCGTGAGGAGCTACAGATGGTGTTATGTGTGCTCCACATCAGATTTCAAGACGTCGGCACGCGTTCATGCAAACCCCCGCAGCCACACAAAGCCAGCGTTGCAAGCATGGATCGGATTACGACAGCAGCATCTAGGCCCTAGGCACCTGCCGCCGGGCTTGCTTCAAGTTCGCATGCAAGGGAGGCACACGGCAGCACTTCCCTCGAGCTCACCTTCTTGATCCTTTTAGGGAGTCCTCTTCGTCGCGATGCCGCTATCTTCGACTGATGCGCATATTGTTGCATCTTTGTGCCGCAGTGGTGCAGGCACGGTATAGAGTTGGAGTTGAATGCGAATTGGGCACAGCGGATAAGACTGAGTAGGAGCGATGCTTGAACATGCTCGTATCAGTTTCAGTTGCAGAGCAAGGTGATTGCAAGTGTCGATGCTCCGGACTGGTTGTCTACATCTCAGCACAGTTGGTGTAGAGAACTTCAGTCTCAGAGTGACGCCGGCAGTGTCGGTAGGTTTGCAGAAGAGGGCTGCGATGCTCCGTTCTGGAGCTCCGCCAAGAAGACCTTGGCAGGCTTGATTGAAACGTGCATTGTGCAAATGGGGAAACCCAGATACATGGTGGCAAGCATTCTCCAAGAGACCTCGCAAGGTGTCAAGTGGCCACCAGCAGAGGCACATGTGCGAGCACTTGTAGAGCAAGAGCTCCAGCTGGCACCTGGAGGCTAGCATGCACACGTCGCTTCTAGTCGTGCTGTCACGCTGAGATCTATTCATGGCAATATATGGCAATCACTGCAAGCGCAGAAAACGTTTGCTGCATGGACAGATAGCGCTGGGTGCAGTAGCGGTCGCTTTGTCCTCTCGGCCGCAACCCAAGCTGAGAGGTTGCTACTGAACCTCACTGCTACTCAGCAAAGCACCAAGGTCTGGCAACTTGTGCACGCAAATGCTACCATCCGTGCCTGGCATGTCCGCACGAAATTTGGGGCCGAGCTGTCGGAGGCCAGTGCTTTAGTGTACCACGCCCATGCTATCAAGAGACATGCTGCCAGATGGCCTGGCCACTATTGTGGCCCTGGCGAGCCTTTGGTGCCTTGGCGTTCCTGCGACAGCAAGTGATGCAGGACAGAATAAAAGATGGTTTTACTTATCAAGGCTTTTGGGCTTGTGGGTGCGACGGCTGCGACTACGGATACGACTGCATATCTGACGCTATGTTTTCTTTGCTCCGACCTTAGCAGTCGAGTTTAGTTTATGCTCACTCCTTTCCTACTCCTAACTACTACTACTACTACTACTACTACTACTACTACTACTCCTCCTCCTACTCCTACTCCTACTCCTACTCCTACTCCTACTCCTACTCCTACTCCTACTACTACTACTACTACTACTACTACTACTACTACTACTACTACTACTACTACTACTACTACTACTACTACTACTACTACACTACTACTACTACTACTACTACTACTACTACTACTACTCCTTCTACTACTACTACTCCTACTCCTACTCCTACTCCTACTCCTACTACCACCACCACCACCACCACCACCACCACCACTACCACTGCCACTACCACTACCACTACCACTACCACTACCACTACCACTACCACTCCCACTACCACTACCACTACCACTACCACTACCACTACCACTACCACTACCACTACCCCCCCCCACCCCCCCCCCCCCCCAACCCCCCACCCCCCCCACCCCCCACCCCCCCCACCCCCCCACTCCCCCCACCCCCCCCCCACACCCCCCCCCACCCCCCACCACCCCCCCCCACCCCCCCCACCACCCCCACCCCCCCCCCCCAACCCCCCACCCCCCCCACCCCCCCCCACCCCCCCCACCCCCCCACCCCCCCCACCCCCCCCACCCCCACCCCCCCCACCCCCCCCCCCCACCCCCCCCCCCCCCCACCCCCCCCACCCCCCCCACCCCCCCCACCCCCCCACCCCCCCCACCCCCCCCCCCCCCCACCCCCCCCACCCCCCACCCCCCCACCCCCCCCCACCCCCCCCACCCCCCCCACCCCACCACCCCCCCCCCCCCCCCCCCCACCCCCCACCCCCCCACCCCCCCCCCCCACCCCCCCCACCCCCTCACCCCCCCACCCCCCCCACCCCCCCCCGCCCCCCCCCCACACCCCCCCCCCCCCCCACCCCCCACCCCCACCCCCCTCCCACCCCCCCACCCCCCCACCCCACGCCCCCAACCCTCAAACGCAGAAAAAAAGGAGGAAAAAATCAGTAGACAGCGTGGTCCTGTGTGCACAAAGCACAGCACGTAATTAACCCCCCAACCCCCCCCAACCCCCCCAACCCCTCAAACGCAGAAAAAAAAAGGAGAAAACAAGAGAAAAAATAAAAAATCAGCAGAAAACATCATGATCAGTTAAGAGCGTGTCACCTCCTACTACTACTACTACTACTACTACTACTACTACTACTACTACTACTACTACTACTACTACTACTACTACTACTACTACTACTACTACTACCTACTACTACTACTACTACTACTACTACTACTACTACTACTACTACTACTACTACTACTACTACTACTACTACTACTACTACTACTACTACTACTACTACTACTACTACTACCACAACAAATACGACGACAACTACTACTACTGCTCCTGCTCCTGCTCCTGCTCCTGCTCCTGCTGCTGCTGCTGCTGCTGCTGCTGCTGCTGCTGCTGCTGCTGCTGCTGCTGCTACTGCTACTACACAGCGACTGGTGGCCCTGCAGCGGCCCACTTCATGGTCACCCCCCTCCCAGAGGCAGTGTTTGGCAGCCTTCTTTCACTGTCTCCCCTACTGGTGAGGCAGCCGAAGTCAAAACGGATGTCGCTGGACGCCAAGCCATTGCAACGCCCTTCACCAGACTTGGTGACGCGCAGAGCTCACCCCCACCAACTCACAACCGACAATGCTGAAGTTGGAGCTGGAGCAAGCGCCGCGCAGCCACCCTCACACGCCACCCTCACAGGGAAGTCAAGTGGTTTGCCATGTTGGTGGGGCTGCCAATGTGCACTGCAAAGCGGCGCAGCGGATGCTTGCCGCAGCGCTGACCAAATCCGGGTCTTGGTTGCGCACACGGCCGTGGTCATCATGGATAATTGTGAACGCTTGCGCACGCCGCCTCGGCAGCCGGGCCGGCCACAGACAGGGGCGGGGGGTCCAGGGAAAGGGGGGTCCCAGGTTTGCAGCTCCTCTACGCGATGGGGCGGGGGTCCCACAAGGCGAAGGCAAAAAAGGGGGGGTGCGTCACAAAATTTGGCACAGGGGGAAGGGTTGGCGGGGGGAAAGACCGGATTCGTGCCTGCTCGTTCCAAACGCTTCTCGCAGGAAGAGGCGAACATACGGGTTTTTTGGCATTTCTGCTGCCAGGATCCATCTGCATTGTACCCTCGCGAACAAGCCAGGCCACGCTGAGCGGGTTCACTTGGACTCTTTTGTTGAATTCGCTTATTTTTTCGCTAGCTCCTGCCTGGTAGCTCGTCGGGCGCTGAAGATGCCGAGTTTCTGGACAAGTTGAAGCGGCTTGGCTTGCTTTCAGCGGCAGGCAGGGTTGCAATGCGGAACGCTTTGGCCAGGTAGTTGTGCAACAGTTGCGTAGCTGGGGCTCTTGCGTGTCTGAATTTCAAACCGGTGTAGGGGAGATGTAACCGCACCCGTGTGACGCGCCTCGAGATGCTTTTCGGGTGCTCCTGAGCCCAGGTCGGCCTTTCCAGTTTCGCAGGCAGCCAAAGGCGACCTAGTTGCCTTCCTGTGGTCGCCTTGCACAGCACACGACTACTTGTAGTGCGACTACTTGTAGTGCTGGACCGATTATTTGTTGTGTTGGAAGCTCTTCAACTTCGAAGGTGTGGCTTCTGGAGAAGCACCCTCTGCTGTTGCTGCTCGATTCCTGCACGTGGCTCGCAGGGAAGTTGTCTGGTTCTTGGTCTTGATCCTTGTCATCCAACCGACTAGCTGCGCATGCAAACTCCGAACGTCTGAGGCCAACCCGCTAGCAGTCGCGCGCCCGGTGAAAAACTGTCAATTTCAGACGCGTCGTCGATGTGCGGTACACAAGTGTTTAACACGCAGGTTTTTTTGTTGCATTATGTGTCAATCCTTGATTCTTGATGACAGCCTCCGTCAAGGTTGCATCCGCTTTTTGGACACTGGCAGTCTCCCTGCAGAGCGGGAGTTCGTTCAGCTCAGAGGCCTGAAGATGCAGCTTGTAAGGTGAGCCTTCGGCATCTGGAGCCGAGGTAAGAGGCTTGCTTGCCGAGGGCGAGCAGGTGGTCAAAGCCTGGATGCGAGGTACTGCGTGGGCGTTTCATCATCTTTTAGTCATGGCCTGGGCCTTGAACGCCGTCCCCGCATCCCCCCACCACATCGCCCACTTCCTTCGCCTCCTCTACACACCTCGCCTTTCCAAGTTCAAGAATGTGCTGAGGTTTGGCCCTTGCTTGATATCCTCGGGGCGCTTGACATGCAGGTGCAACATTTTGCAACTGTGGCTCTTCGAGTTCTATCGCCTCAAAGCTGCTGCTGTTTGAGATTGGATTCTTTACATTTCTTCACCAAAGATATTTCAGTCATGAAGCTGCATGAAATATGAACCTCTCAACTCTCAATTCGCAAGGCCTTTGCAATGGCACCCTCACGTGCCAGGTGGATTGCACCAGGCACAAGCTAAGTGCAAGACCAAGCCAATATCATGGGGCAGAGGGGCACTTGCCACGGGGCACTTGCCAGGCTCTGACCCCCGCGAGCCACAATGCAGGCATGTAAGCAGAAAGAGCCTTGCTTCCGGACCAACTGCGATGCACAAGATACGTGTGTCGTTGTTGACTTAACGTCAACAATTCTTGACAAGCAATGTGTGCGGAGATGCAGGACTTGAAGACCAACGAATTGAGGCCATTGTGGTATTCGGAAGACAGGACCGAGTTCGAATCCTGGACACGTGCGCCTGAAGCTGCTG